TCACTTGTAACTGCAGGGACCAGCTGCCAGGCTGCACAGGAGTCAGACCCTGAGACATGATCCCCATCCCCGAGCAAGGATCCTTCCCAAGGACAAGGAGACAAGGTCTCTCTCTCTGGCTGTAGGTAAGAAACCAAATGGTGCGTGCACAGCCTTTTGCTCCCTGCTTTCTCTCCTTCCCGGGCAGCATGAGCTTTGCAGAGCCCTCCAGGGAAGGGTACGGAGAAGGTCTGGTGGTGGGCATTTTGCTTTGCATGCAGGCAGCCAGTCACAATGGCAGTTTTTCCAAAAGTATTCCCTCCAAAAAAGAAGAGGAAAAAAACCCAATAAACTTTAAAAGTGTTCCTTTTTCCTGAGACAATGCCTAGTCTTACTGAAGGCAAGGCACTTTGGTTGTCAGCTATACAGTCCAACCCCTGCCCGGCTTGTTTATTGCAAAAGACAAATAATCCTTGAACTGTTCCTATAAGAAGGAAAACTTGCAGGTATGAGGATACATTCAATATTGATGAAGCACAAGCCGATCTTACGGGAGGCTGTTCAGTGTGTGTCACCATGCAGAGAACAGTGCTAAAGAGCACAAAGGTTACAATGGCAAGCTCACAGTGAAGAGGTCACACAGCTGTTTGTGTGTGCAATATTATCATCTGTGGCATCATCCCATACTGACAGAGCTAAAAAAAAAAAAAAAAGACAGGCTTCTGGGCACAGTAGCACCTTTTTTGCCTTTTCCGAGCTGGAATGCTAAAAAAAAATGTTTGTTTCTTCCATTTTGTATCAATCAATCTAATAAAAGCTATTAAATTTCCCCCAATGTTTGTCTTGCTATTTTTCTGAGACCACATGACTGTAAGAGCACTACTGTGTATTCAGTGTTAGATTGCAAGCAACACTTAAATTTTCTTGAGGCCATTTGGGGATATTTTGACAGGCATTGGCTACTACTGAAGCTGTATTTAGCTGCTGTAAAAGGCAAAGATGCAGTCAAGTCAATCGAAGTCTGTGACCGCTCTGATAAGTGCGCCCTTCCTGTATCTTTTTCTAGCTCTTTCAGGGTTGAGTTCTGTGCACTCCCCAGACATGATTAATTTCCTTTTATTTTGATCCCTTTATTTTGATACTTCTTGCATATCTTTGAAAATAAGAGACTTTTAATCCCTTCTTGACCTTTTTAATGATTATTTTTTTAAAAAAATTTGTCCATTTGGGCACTTCGCATTGACACAAAGAAACCTTTGAAATTCCTGTGGGCCAGATTTAGAATTTTCACCTCACCCTCTTAACCCCATTTTTTAAAATCCATCAGTCAAAGTGATATCAGAATGGGAGGCAGCAAGAGCAACAGAGGCTTTGTTTTTTTAACTTTTTGTAATCACTTTTACAAGCTCTTTAAGGAAAGTTCAGATCTTCTCTGTACTCTTGAAATTAAAGCTACATATCTTATACCCTTTTTCTCTTTAAACAAACCAGAACAAATCACCACAGAGGGTGGTAGGTTCTGTATCTCCTGCTGTCCTCAAACCAAGGCTGCCTTTCTGAAAGATGTGCAAATAGTCAAACACACATTACAGAACTCAATGCAAAGGTCGGTAGAGAACTGTATTTGTCAGTAGGTCAGATGGGATAATATACCAGTCTCTCTAGCCATAAAATATATGTAATGTTTTCTGGGCTCATTTTAGACAATTTACAGAGTTTTTGTCGGTAGCAGTAACAAAATTTGGGGAACATTATAAAACAATTTTGCAGCCCATTTCTTTAGCGAGTACCTCGTAGATGTTGTTATATAGCCCTTGAGAGCTGTAATTAAGTGCTTTGAAACATATTTGGGGCTGTTTCGTTTCAGGCTTTGCCTCCAGCCTCTCTGGCTTGAAGAGCATGTTTGTTTACAGGAAAGTTACCATTGCATTTAATTGAGATTAGAAATCGACTGGGGAGGCTCCTGGCTCTGAAGCACTCCGGTGATCCTGGTGTTTTGTGAGCTATCAGAAAGGCCTGACTGTCACAGCCAGAATAATAAAAAATAAATTCCTAATCTTTGTTCTGGATCTACCTACAACTACTTTTTCCTCATTTTTGCATTCCCCAATCTAATTTAGCTTGAAAGTAAATAAAAATAGCTCATCCCACTTGGCCAGTATATGTCCTGCCTTTTCAGTTAGTCAAGATTTGTCTGAAATTTTGTATGATTTCAAAATGCTATTGGCATTCAACCCAAGGAACCAAGAAGGTCTGGTTCAAGAGTAGTGAAACAAACATTGGGACACTTAGAAGAAACAACTGAAAATTCATCTTCTGCCTGCCGTTGAAAACATTTGTCAAATGCAGAGGGCATTTGGAAAAAAACTGGTGGCTGCAGTGTTTCTTCCCCTCCCAGGCTCACTCCTCAGGCAGAGCAGCCCCAGCCCCACTGTGTGAGACCATGGGGACACTCAAGGACCCAGGACACCTGGGCCCTGCCCGGGGCTCTGCTCGCCTTCTTCAGCATTTCCTCCAGCAGTGCTCATGCAGCGCCTTCCTCGGGGGCCCCTTCTCCAACCTGCTCAGACTGCTGATATTCAGGACCCCCACGAGCATCTGCATGCCCCCCCCCACCTCCTGCCTGGGCATGGGGGGTGTGACCATGGTGTCCCCTCCGTCCCGCACTCCCTCTCCGCCACTGCGCCCTGTGTGGGGACCCGGGACAACAGCTGCTGACAGGGGAGTGCTCTCTCTACATGGCCAGCTCTGAGTACCTTGGAGGCATGAATTAGGCCACTGAAACCATTCAGTTGTGCTAAATAGCATAGCATTAAAATGATAATTGGGCTTATTTCCTTTGCCTTTCCGTTTCTGGGGTTTTAACCTCCACTAGATACATTTTCAAGCTTTTTCTCAGTACATGTAACACCCTGTTTTTTAAGTGCTCAAGACTCCAGGAGCTGGGGCTTTAACTACTGCCAAAGACCGTGAGCTTTCCTGTAACAGGATGCAGGTAGAAAGCACAGCTGGCCCTGGCATAAATTGCCAGTGGCTGCATTTTCTTCTTGCCTGGGTACTTGGAAACAGCTAAGCCAACCCCCTTGTAAGACAGGCCCCACCAGCAGGCTTGGCAGCGCTGGGGGCAAAGGTACTGATTTGCCAGCAGGGCCTTGCATGCACCCTGCGTTTGCCTGGCTGGAGCTCCCTGACCGGGGACAGAGACGGTCCCCGCGTGGCGCGGTGCAAAGGCCTGCTGACAGCAAACCTCTGCAGGACACAAGGATGGAGCCAACAGCTGAGCGGATTCTCCTCATTTTCGAAGGCAAGTGATCATCTCCCGTGATCACTCCCCCTTGTGTCCCTCCGCCCCACCTCCCCTTTTTGTGGCAGCTCCACACCAAAGGCAGAGGAGGCTGTGTGACAGTCATGCTGTGACTCAGGTCAGGGCCCAGGAGGAACATTTTGGCTGCCTGACCTGGCACCGGGCACAGCACGGCTTCCTGCCAGCCATAGCTAAACATTCAGCTCCAGGCTTCATGTCCTTGCTCCCATTCAAATCCTGCCCCAGGGTGGCGCACTGCTTTTGCCTGGCAGCTGCAGCTCAGATGAGATGAGTTTGACTGGTCTCAGCCAGGTTTTGAGCCAATCACCATCCACAGCACAAAAACCTGCCCTGCAGCCATGCAGGGCTGTGAAGACGCATCCTACATCTGGGAGGGCAGCACGGAGGAAAGACACAGCTCAGTGCATGAAGGGCCTGCGCTCTGGTAGCACCTCTGCTGGCAACATCATGGGCACAGCGGTGGGAAGGGACAGGGACATGGGACAGTGGGTGGTTGCGTCCTGCTGCTTGCCTCGGCAGCCTGGAAGCAGACCTCCATTATAGCCCCTATAGGCCTGGGGAGGTGCCCCTGGGTGGACGCAGAGGATGCTCCTGCAACTGGGGCGGGGAAGCAAGGCCAGGTGCCATCGACCAGGGGAATTCAGGGTGGCTGTAGTATGCAGCGCAGCAGTAACTGTGGCATGCCCCACACAGCCAGGAAGGACAGGCTGGGAGCATTTCCAAGCAGCTCCAGCTTGGCCTGGGAAAACCCCTTACCACTAGCTCTCCCGAACCAAAGATCCCCTGGTGTGCATGTTATGGGAAGCCCTGATTGCAAAATTTAAGGGGGAAAGTAAGGAGGCTGTCAGAGGGTTTTCTTGCAGGCTGAGGATGGCGTGTTGCAGACAGGAGCCAGGAAGAAAGGGCAGGTCACCATGCTGAGGGCGAATCAGCTGGATCTGGCCCCAGTGCCTCCTAAACCCCTGGGGGAGACCAAGAGAGAGACAGTGTTAGTATATCGTTTCCCAGCCTTCACCCTAAGCACGCTCCATGGCCACCGAGCAGCCGGCACGGGCGGCCTGACCCCGAGCCCCATCTTGCAGCAGCCGGTGAACCCCAGCCCCAGCTATCAGGGACATCCCAAAGGCAGGCGAGATGGAGCTTGCAGAAAACAGCCCTTCGAGTCGCCTTTGGGGGATGGAGAGGAAGGCATTTCTGATGGAGATTGAATCTAGTGATTACTTCAAGGGATTTGCTCTATCTCTTTCTTTCTTCCTCTCTCCCTCTCTCTCTCTCTCTCCTTTTTTTTTTTCTTTTCCCTCCCTCTTATCCCTTTCGTGGTGCATTTGTCTTCGAGGAACCTGGGGTGTTCTTTTCATCAGTTCAATCTCTCTCTGGCACTTGAGTCCTGATTGGCTGAAGGACTTAGTGAAAAAAAATCTTTAATTAAGTAGATAATCTCTTCTTAGGAAGTTCTGCGGCTCCATTTCACCAACCCCCTTTAGCTCTTACTTTAGGATTGGTTACCCTTCACAGAAGTTGGGATTCAGGGGGCATATGCCTCTTCATCACACCAGGAGCGCCGAGTGGAAAATAACTCCATCCCTTCCCTAATTTTGTTGTGTTTCTTTTTTTTTTCTTTTTTTTTTTTTCTTTTCCTTGGTGGTGGTACCCAAGTTTTTTTAGGATCTCCTTTCTCCCTCTTTATTTGGATTTTATGTTTCACATGGACCCTTATCTGGGCATCTTCTTCCTCACTCCCTTCTTCCAATCCTGCTATGCCTGGTGAGTATTGAGAGCGCCTCCGTTTGTGTCACAGGCAGGTGCTCTTCTCAGAGACCCTAAGGGTATTCCTCTTCACCTTTCTAAATGTCCCCTCTTTTCCACTTAACTGAGTTTTGGCCTTTAATGGGGTCAGATATTTAACTAAGTTGAAACATGCTCAGTGGTAGAGAGGTTTGATCTAAGCAGAAAAAGCCCCCTTTCCCCCCTCTCACCTTTCTGTAGTAATTTTATGGGCCAAATCCTGATCTGATGTAAATTAAAGTAGATGCCCTGAGAGCAGACTTGAAAATCTAGCCCCTCATTTCCAATTAGGAAGATAACCCAACTGGAAAGCTGGGGATTTCTTTTTTTTTCCCCCCCAAAGGCTTACAGTCTGCTTGTCTCTTGTCTCAGTCAAGTGGGGCTTCTCTCACTTTCCCTATAGAGGACAGTCACTGATTAAGAGCTCAGAGACAGCAGGGATAAGTTAAACGCACAGGAGTGTCACTCCGTAAGAACAAACTGAAACCCAGACTCCTTTGGCAGGCACAGGGTCAGGACTATGTACGTCTGAAATTCAGGTATTTGGATTTCCTGGGAGAAGGACATTTTTGGTCTAGAGCCTGCTAAGGTTTTACTCCCTTTTCAAATGGTTCCCAACCACCTGGACCCCATCAGACCAGTCCTCCCAGTACAAACCAGGAATCATTTCCTGTGTGCCTACTGCTCTGTCCTCAGGGTGGATTACTTTAATTCCAGAAATATTTCACAAGGTGAACAGAAAAAGATTACACTTGCATCAAATCTAGTGTCAATCTTTTTCGGAGTGTACCTTGTCCCATCCTCATATGGAGGTGGACTCAAGTGACCTGGCTCTGCAGGTATTTTTTCATATGTAATTTCTACTGAGCATCCACACTTCGTTCTCTCTTTCTGTGATACCCTTGGAAATCTGTGCAGTAGGTTACAGCCTTATCTCTGGCAGCAAGGAAAGTCTTTTCCCATTCAGTGACTAAAATCTCGTCTGCCCCATAGCAGATCTCTAGAGTTATTACCATGCACGGAGAAGCTAAAATTACAGAAAGAGAAACTCAAAACTAAACGGGAACTCACTCCTTTTAGGCTGAGAATTAAATCTATGTTCTCTCAGAGCTTCTCTCCTCCCTTCCTTAAAAAAAAAAATATGCAACTTTTTGTATATCTCTAAATATTATAGAATAGCAAACTCAAGATAAATTCCCCATCCTGAACAAGGAGAATATGTAATTTTGCACAGCGAGACCAGGCAAGAACTATGGCTGATTTCTCTTTTCTCTGTCTCCTTGTACGTTTCTCTTGCTTTCCTCAATATTAACAGGTTTAGAATATGCTAAAAGAGAAAAAAATCAAAGTTTGTTAGGAAAAGTTCAAAGGGGGGAATTTTCAGAGGCACAAAGTACAGTTAAATGCACAAATCCCAGACATTTTCAATGAAAATTGGGTGTCTAAGTGCTCTTTGTGCCTTTGGGAAGTCTTTATCTTAGGGAAAATTTTATAGCTCAAGATAGTCCTACCTCTCTAGACGTCTTACTGATAGGTCATGATTTCCTGAGAGAAAGGAATTGTTAAGATATAATGCAAAAATTTTATTCCTGATTATCCTATTATAGACCCTCTCTCTTACTTCTTGAAGAGAAAAAAAGTAAGGTTCATAGAAATCATGCAAAAATACTATTTGCAATTTTTACCATTCTTTATCTGATCCAATAGTTTAAAATGCAATAAGATTCTTGTTTCTGTGATCTGATCACATGCATTTGCGGGGAGGGACAGACATTTAGATCAACAACTAATATTTCTTATAGAGGTGGTCACTTCTTTTCTCTGAATGTTTATTAGAGACCTCTGGTGATTCTACTGTGTTGGCTAGGTTGGATGGCCAGTTTGTTTCTAGGCGATTAAAATGTCAGGAGTGCGTTTAGGAAGAAAAAAACTAATATATATAACAAAACAGAGAGAAACAAAGAAAAGAAGAAAAAAAAAGTAAAGCCCCCAATGTTAACATGTTGCCTCCCAGTCTCCTATCTTGCAGAAATAATGTAACGCTCTCTAATATTGCAACTTGCTCTTAGTTGTTTTTTACAGTTCAGCTATGAGTTTGTGTCTAGTTCCCAGTATTGCTGCTTTTCTAACAACTTGAGGGGTTTTGTTTTGTTTTTTTTTTTAACTAGAGAACAAGATTCAGATCCAAAGTGAAATTGGATCCATTTTCTGTATTTACAATAATGTCAGTAAAGATCTAAATTGCAACCATATAATTTTCTAAAGAGAAAGAGCCAGCTCAGCAGCTCAGGAGCTTGTTATTGGATGATCAGGTATCAAACAAACACTTTAATGGAAGACTTGACAAGGTTCTCAGGGTATGTTCTCAGTAATGAAGATTGATGCTGATTTAACAAAACTGATGAGGAGAGTGCAGTTATTGGTAAAATTGTAACTGAGCTGAAATTTTCAAAAGCTTAGTAGTGTTTCATGTGTGTAAAATATAACGGGATATCTGCTTGGCAGGGTAATTTGCTGTTGTTTCCAATAGAGCTATGTTAAATAACTCCTGCAGTAGACATTCATTAGCTTTGATATAATTATAATTCTGTAATATAGGATGCAATGAAACGTCACCTGTCCTAGATTTGTTTTTACCCTGGGTGAACGAGTTGCGGTTAGTGAAGAAGCACGCCCTGCACCGGCCCCTGCTCGGGCTGTGGAACGGACTGAAATTCTTGGTGGGACCCTTCTCTCGCTACCTGCCAAGGTCTATCCATGCTTCTGTTTTAGTCCACTTAACATTTTCTTGGAATTTGAAGAGAGAATGAAAGTGCATCATATAGCTGGAATCACCACAAGTTTGCTGAAGCAGAAAAATCATATCAAGCTCTTCCTTTCATGTTTTTCATCAGTGTGGCAACACTGAAATTGTTGGAATTGGGCTGGTTTACACCAGTGGCTGGTGAGGCCAGCTAGTTAGTTTAGGGTTAGATTCTGCCTTCCTTTACAGTGGAAGGGATAATTAGTGAAAAAACTCTGTCTCACCACAGAGGCAAAAATGGAGATTCATTTTCATACTGATACCCGTTTATAACGCAGAAATTACTCTACTGCTATTGTCAATATTGCATTATGTTTGTGGCACAAGTGGCAAAATTGCTCTCTGCCATCACTGGAGAATATATCCAGAACAGAGATGTATTTTTCTTACCTAGATGATATGGGCAAAGAGAATTTGGTTCCATTATTACCTTTTGTTTCTTCTTGACTTAAATAAGAAAAAATTCCAGCTACCTCCCAGACAGGCAACTGCCCTGCAGCGTGTAGCATCCTGATAGCCAAACCGTCCCACCTCCCCTGCTCCTCAATCCACTTGCAGCTACAAGAGTTAAATGTGGCAGGTTAAGCATATGCGTCTAAAAGACTCCTTTACACGCTTAACTCCTACAAAGCTGCCCTGCAGTATGCCTGCTAATCAGAGCAAATGCCTTCTGTCTCTCCGACTTCATAAAAATGTTTAGAATATCCTGCTGGGAAATTGCTACTGTACCATTTGCTCAGCTGCAGATGGTGAATTGGCATGTCCTGAACTTGACCTTTTCGTGAACCTTGGGGTTTATCCCTCTGCTTCAATGCGGTTATATCAATTGGCACCTGCTAACGGGCTGGTTCTTTGTAAATCCTGAACTTGTGGATTACTGTCCTCCTCCAAAAGCCACCCTTGCAACTGCTCAGATGTTCCTAACCCAAGATGAGGCCAGCAAGGCTTTGAAACAGATACTTCTGTGAGTTCAACTTTTCCTACCAAGGAAGTAGGAAGCAATGCAGATGGGATGTAGTTCTTGTTTTAGTCTCAAAAGCAGGACAAGAGAGGACTTGCTTCCTCTTAGTCTTGCCTACGTGTGGACATTTTAGCAGAATTTTCTCACAGCTGCTACGCGGGGGTCAGATTCACACTAACACCATCATGAGTGAGCTGGTACAATCCCCATAGCAAAGCGCTTAAGGAAAAGGCAAAGGACGGGAAGGAAAATAGAAAGAAAAATGACTTGTTCATGCAACTACGCAGTTGCATTAGGATAGGGACAAACAGAGTTTACAAGTCTGAAAAGACCCAGGTTCATGCCCCTGTGTGATTCCGGTCACTTGATGCTCTAATCACCAGGCGACAGATCCCATCTCTGTGAGTCCCAGGAAATATTTAATTAGCTGTACAATGCAGAAGCAGCTCCCAAAGGAAAATTCTACTGAAAAACAGCCATAAACTTAGTGCAAAGGCACCCATAGGGGTTGAAGAACAGCTGGGTTGGAAACTCTGCCCGGGAACAAAGGAATAAGGATTGCCTACCCTCACACTGTGCCCTTGCCACAGCCCGCTCCCTCCCGTTTTCGCCCAGAGGAATCTTTCCCAACGCAAGCTTCACTCTGGGTACATTTCCACAGCAAAATTTTAGCCTTCCCAAAGAGAAACTTTGGAAACTAGTTCTCTCAACTCTTCTAAAACTTTCAGCTAGTTTTAAACAAGGTACAGTACTTTCTCCGAATAATAGCAAAGATCAGGTTTCCTGTGATTTTGCCCAAGCTACAGTAGCTACACCTCTGTCTCTGAGAGGACCTCTATGAGGGCAATTCTAGCTAAGGTGAAATAGGCTCGGTGACCACAGGAGCAGTTTTCCAGGGCAGGGAAACATCCTCACTGAATCTGTCCTGTGCTTAGTGTCTCTCTCCATTTTGGATTTGTATCACTGCAGGACAGTGCTTTTCTCTAAACAGCAATGCCCGTGGCACCAAAAAACATGGCTTGAAGGAAGAAAAATATTTGAGGCTCCTTCATTTGCCCTCCCATTCCTCAGGGAGGAGGCTTGCTGGCCAGCCGGCCAGCCACCTCTCAGCTGAAAACACTGTAGAGCATCCCTGTGGCACCCATACCCAAACCCTCCTTCCTCCACCATGCACAGCCAGTATCCGTTCCCTGATCTGCCTTTTACCCTGTGTGCAGAAAACCCCAGGGCATGCAGTCACGCTCGGCGCCTAAGCCCCGCCAGCCGGGCTGCCAGCCCCATCCAGGAAACAGAAGCAGCTCTGCCAGACGTTGGGGTCTCTGCCTGGCTTCTGGCTAGAGCTGTTCGCGTCCCTCATCAAAATGCCTGGTGTGCATAGCTCTTCAGCAGCCTGTGTGCTGGGAAAGGGGTGGACTGCGAATGTCTGCAGGGCTCACCAATGCCAAGAGGAGTGTGAGAGTGTGCAGCAGTCACCATGCAGGAGGGTTCTTCCCAGCCAGGCTACACATCACTGTGCGTGGCACCTCGGGGTGTGAGAGGGGCAGTCCAGAGGGGGGGATTCTCCAGCCCCTGCAAGCTTGAGCCCGTGGGCAGAAACAGGGGGTCCCACAACCCCTTGGCTTCACATGCCAATGTTAGGGCAATGAGAGGGAACTGGACTGAAGCTGCAGTCCCATCGTACCACTGCTGACCCCCCTCCTCAACTCTACTACCGAGATTTTCAGGGAATGGAGTAGATCCCAGCCAGCAATATAACAGAGACAGAGAAGCAGAAGCAAAGGCTTCAAGCATCACCACACTCCTGGGTAGCCCAAAGGTGGAGTGGTGCATGCAGCCTCACTGAAGGGACGGAGTGCACATTAAGGCTCTGCAAGGGCTAGCAAAAAGGGGAATGAGAAGCATCCTCCACTGGGAGACAACCGGCATTTAAATGGGAACATCGTCTTTAGAAGTTGAGGAGCCCTGTTTCTCTTGGTACGTGCTCTAGCTTTTCCCCTGTCATTTACTCACTGCAAGGTCTCTATCAGCCCTCATCACACTTCTGGTCCTCAGTGCCCTTCTTGGGCACAAGGACCCTTACTTATCTCTGCAGGGTATCTGGGGGCAGGCAGGTGAGACACTCCTGGGACTCAATAGGAAGAGCGATGAGAGTAATTTTGCAGATCTGTAGAGGATGGAATGAGGTGTTTGCAGTGAAAACCTCCCTCCTCCAGCTTTATTTCTAGCTAGAAACAGTTAGGGTGGGCTCCTGGGCTCTTTTAAAGTCCTGTTCCTATCTGCAGTGGCACAGCTAAGCTGGATTCACCCAGCCATCCTCCAGAGTCCTAGCAGTGGTCACTGCACTACAGGGTCCCTAACACACTGACTGACCATTTGCACTGAAACAGCCTTTCTTAATGGAGAAAGAGATCCAGACCATTTCCATGACCCTGGTTTGTAGCACAGGCCTACAAGTGGTTGTGGCAGTGTGTGTGAAAAAGCCCAGGGCTGCAGTGAATAGAGGAAGTATATGGAGATTTTGCCAGTGGGGAAATGTACAGCTAGACACTGGCCTGCATGTATGCAGTTGTGAGAAAATATGGCTGGACATGCACGTGTCGAGGAAGCAAGAGCAGGGAAGCTATGAGCAGGGGATTTCAGTGCAGCCTGCCCGCGTCCCAGGGTCCGACCTGTGTGGTGCCCCAGCTCTGCAGCATGTCACCTGTGCTCAGCCTTCCGAGCGTTTGGGCTGCAGGTCTTGCAGGACAGAGCAGAGACTGAAGGGAATTCAGGGCTGCTTTTGAAATGCTCTTTGTAACCCCTCTTCAAAACAGTCTGTGCTCACATGCAATCAGATTGGTACACGGTCTTAGATTTGGGCTGGCTACTGGGCTTCAAGCACTGGCAACAGAAGTCCAGAGGATGCAATTTGCTACTCAAGAAAAGCAAGCCACTTACCCAAAGGGTTGTAGGCTCCAGAGGGCAACGGCAGCACCCTCAGCTGCTCTAGTCTCTGTTCCCGTGGCCCTGATTCAGCACACAGCATGTGCTGAAATGCAGGTTCAGTGACAAGCCTACAAGAGCACCCTGGAAGGAAAGACGCAGGAACCCTGCCCACCAGCAAGTGTTACCTCAGACCTTTCACTCTGTTAAGTGCAGAAGTGTGACGTGTGATGCAGCTGCCTCCTCTCCCTCTTTTCTGCTGGAGGGAAAGCTGTTAAAACCTAGGAACCATGGACACCTGCAAGAGCCCCATCTGCTGCCTGACCAGCGTGAGGCTTGAGCAGGGGATCATTAGTCTGAAGGGCTGTGTCTAGGGATTGTTTGGAAACAGCTGAAAGCTCTGCTTCTGCCTCGGTGCCTCACAGCTGGGTCCCACCTTCCACCTCCCCCAGCACATTAGGAAATTCAGGATCCTGTCAGCCCCCCTGTGAAGAGAGCTCATCTTCAACAGACAGTCACTGGCTGAGGGAAGGACGAAGCTTCCCATCACTAAGGCAGAAGTTAGGCCCACGGCACCCTGGCAAGAGCTAAGCAGAGCACCTTTCAAGAGGGTTAATTTGCTTTTTTCTCCTCTGCCACCTGGAAGTGGGAGGAATGGGTTAATGACCTTGTTGCACCATGCTAAACCACCAAAACAGGTGCCAGAAGGCTGTGAAATTTGCTTTAAAACCTTATGATTTAAAAATAAGTAAATATTAGTGTTTCTTTTATTTGCCTTCCAACACCCTTAGGGACAGGGCCCACATTTTAAAGTTTTTTCCCTTCTGTACAAAAACTAGGAATGGCTGCTCCAAAGAGCAAAGAGGGGAGAACCCTGTAACTCCCAGAGTTGAAGGTTTCAGGAGCCTGAAACTTAAAATTACTAAAACAGACCCCAGCATTTTCAGTGGAACAGTTTTCCATTAATAGTGGCAAAATCAAGGGTTTCACGGAAATACTTACAAGTAGACAGCTTTTGAAATAATTCATCTTGAGTTTCATATTTCATCTAGAAAACATCAGAAAGCTTAATTCTGACTAGCATTTGCTGGCTGACTCAAATTGCTGGCTATTATTAAGTATAAAAAGATACCACATCACAGAAAGAAAACCCTTTTGAGGGTTTTTTTGAGGCCAGCTGAAACTTGGGAACACACTGTCCCATTTCAGTTTTTCAGAATGGCAACTTATTTTCATCTTAATTCAAGAGGAGAATAAGAAGACCCTGAACTATTTATTTCATTGATAAACTCTAGAGGAACACAACCAGCAAACCCGGCATGCACAACCCTCAGGAGCACCTCTGTGCACCCAGCCAGCACTGGGGCCGGCTGTGGGAGCCCGAGGGCAGCACAGAAGGCGCAAGGGGCAGGAGTGCAGCTCCACTCCCCGCTTTGCTTCCTGGGCCACCCAGGGCAAATCTCCATGTTCCTCCCTCAGCACAGGGGGGATGCAGGGCTGCCCAGCAGGGCTGATGGGATAAACGCGGCCAGCGAGGTGCTCGGCAAGTGCAGTGATGGCCACTAAAGAGAGACTATGGGCTGATGGAGATCAGGGATGCTGGGATCTGGGGGATGCCATGGGGATGAGCCCTGGGAAGGCAAAGCAATGCAGCCTCCCTGCTATGAGGTCCCTTAGCAAGAGGCAAGCTGCCACCATGCCAGGCTTGGTGGTGCTGGCACACAGGGCCATCTCCTGGGGGCTATGGGAGGCACCAGAGAGGCTCCAGTGGAACTGAGCTGAGCAGACATTTGATAAGGCAAAAGGCAAGGCTAGGGGAACATGAAAGCACTAAAAATGGGGGAATCAGTGTGAAAGGCAGCCACAAGGAGGAAAGTAAAAGGGAGGAAGGGTGAGAGAGGGCAAGGGGATCACAGCTGGGGGAAAGGAAAGGAGGTGAGCAGGCAGCTAGGCTGGGGGGGATGAGAGGAGAAGGGAGGGGGGCCACCCTCAAGAGGCTGGAACAGCCATGGAGAGGGAGCAGGGGAACAGAGGGGAGAGGGTGCTCATTCTGGAGGAAAGGCCAGGAACATTGTCACCAGGAGGTGAGATTCCCAGGGCTGTTGGCTACAGCCTGGATGGGGGGAGGAGGAGGCACTGTCTCCCTCCACCACCCCAGGGAGCTGCAAAGAGGGACAGGGGTGAGGCCGAAGGTGCTCAGAGCTGGGGGTGAGAGGATAGCTCTGGGATGGCAGGCATTCCCTGGGCCCTCCACCATCACCGCTCCCCATTGATGATTTGTCTTTCTCTTCTAGGTCAGTGAATAATTTCCTGATGACAGGCCCCAAGGTAAGAGAAATCCCTCTGATGTCCATCCCCAGTTCCACTGAACTGGGAGGGGAGGAGGCTCTGCATTTCCCTCTCCTCTTCCTCCAGTCTTGGCCAGCGCTTTCCTGCCCCTGGTTTCCAGGGACAACGCAAGGGAGAGCCAGGAACAAACTGGTACAATCAACATTTCCTTGCTCCCTGGGCTGTGCCAGCCTTGATCAAAGGGGGTCAGATTTTGGAGATGTGTTTATTGACACCAGCTGAGGATCTCACCTGTCATCTATTTCTTCGCAGAGATCAGGTTACATCAGGACCTATGTTCATCAAGGTGGAAGAGCACTTTCTGTGGGTCTTGCAAAACTTACTTCCCCAGAGAGCATGGCTGGACTTGCCAGGACCTTGTTTCAATGTTTTTTACTCCCTTTCTCCTTGCACCTTGCTTTCAGAGGATTTTTTTCCTAGCCAGAAGCAACTGTATAATTCATCTTAGATTTTTGTCCCTCCTGAAAAAAACTCATCTTTAAAAACCATAGCTATTCCTCAGGAACACTTCCAAGCATGGCTAGCTCTTGCCAAAGCTCCCGACACTATGCTGGAGCCTAACCCCAGAGCACCAAACATCCCAGCACACAGCACATCGACCTTGCAGGGCAAGGCAGGAAAACTACAGCCATGTTAGCCTCACAGCTTGGTGGGAAGTGTCTGGGACTATACTGGCTTTGCACTACCTGGGGGGGAAACTAGAGCACCAGGCTGTGAAGTGATTCTCCCGAGCCTCGATGGCCTGGGAACAGCTCAAGGAAATTCCTGGCAATTCCCCCTTACACATAGCGCTGTCTCTGCCTGCTGACCAAGGAATTGTGACTCCAGTCTTGCAGGCTAATGCTAGCCTCAGGGGTACCAAAGCGGGAGCTGTCTCTGTGCCAGGCACCCTCTGTCCCCGCACATTAATGTGGCACTCCCTGAGGAGGCATCTCCCCTCCTGACCCACGCTTTGCTCCTAGGCCTATCTCATCTACTCCAGCAGCGTGGCAGCGGGGGCGCAGAGTGGCATTGAGGAGTGCAAGTTCCAGTTTGCGTGGGACCGCTGGAACTGCCCCGAGCGGGCACTGCAGCTCTCCAGCCACGGCGGGCTGCGCAGCGGTAAGGAAAGCATTGGGTACCACTACTGGGACCCCTTTGCTGCAGGTTAGCGCCTGGGGGCCCCTCCTCTCTTCTCAAGTGCCTTCTTTTCCTTCTTCTTCTTCTCCTGGGATGTCACTGTCTCAGGCGGGCCCTCCCTCCCGACACACGCTGGGAACTGGCTTCCTGACATGGTGGCCTCACAATGCCAGCATCATCTCAGGACTTGCTGGGGCCCCAGCTGGCACGAGATAGGAGGGTGGGGTGCTGCCAAGCCGGGCCTAGCTGGTTCCCCGAGTGGCTGCCAGCCCCGTGAAGCAGCGTTGACACAAAACACTGCGAGGGCTGCCAGATACACCAGTCCCAAGTAGTGCCTGTGGCAAGATTGTCTTGGGGAGACTGAGAGCCAGTGGAGGTGAGGGAGAGGCAGGCAAAAGGATTTGGCTAAAGGGAGCAATGAAGAACTCTTCAGTGGCTGTGCTCTGGCCAAGTAGCAGGAGAGGGAGGGAAGTCTTCCCACAGCTTCCTGGAGACCGAAATGTCAGTTACCTTGGCCAGTGATCCATGGTAGCACAGGGCATGGGGCTGCCATTCACTGTCACTGCATCCCTTTCTCTGTCAGCCCTTTCTTTACTTATTTGCAGGTGCCAGGAAATGCTTCGGTGCAGACCTGAATCCTCTATACCCATGTGTGCTGCTGGAGTTCATACCTGTCACGTACAGGCAGGACCTAGTTATGGGGGAGTGCCTGAGGACTTTGGTGGGACTGGCAGTAGACAAGGGACCAGGGCCCTAGGAAGGGGGGGATTTTTCAGGCTGCCAGGGGCCCTGAGGAGGAAATTGCAGCATGAAGTGACACCCCTGAGACAGGGAGCAGGTCCCAGAACTGTCCCTATCTAGGTTATCTGCTCAAATCCAGACCTTGTTGATATTTAGTGTAAGCCAAAGGCTCAGGGAAGTGAGCTGATAATCACCACACAGACCCCCCACTGGCAGGTAAGGACATCACCCTGAGCCCTGGACACTCTGAGTTGGTGTCTGGCAGAAGCTAAGGCTCAAGTGGACTGCAGGACATGAGCTCTCTGATCCTTGCAGAGGGCCCCTTCCTCTCTGAGGTACTAGTAAGAGGTGGGAGACATACTGCTCTGCACCATCCCTGCTGGTGAGCTCTCATGGTGACAGCCAAAACTCATCTATGCTCTTGGAAATGGCACAAGTCAACCTGGATCAAACCTGGAAGCTTCTGTCCCCATGTAGCTTAAGCCAAGACCAGGCTAATCTGACACATAGGCCTTCCTCTCCACCCCACAGAGCTCTGCCCTTTGCAAAGCTCTTCCTGCCCTGTCTCCTGCATGGCAGGAGCACTTCTGACACTGTTCTCACCATGAAATCCTTAGCACGTCCCCTCTCCTTGTATTCCCATTTGACAGCCAATCGAGAAACTGCTTTTGTCCACGCCATCAGCTCTGCGGGCGTCATGTACACGCTGACCCGGAACTGCAGCCTGGGGGATTTTGACAACTGTGGCTGCGACGACTCCCGCAATGGACAGCTTGGTAAGGAAGAGATGAGCTGCGGTCCATCTCTCATGCCCCTCACTCCGTGGAAAGCTGTCATTCTCTTCCCCTAAGGAGGTCTGGAGAAACAGCTCCTTCCCCTGGTTCCAGCATCTGCAGGTACTTCCAGAACAGAGCTTTGTCTAGCTTAAATCAAAGCAGCTCTGTGGAAGTTAATGGACTCACCTCCAAATTACACCAGTTGAAGCCCTTGATGTTTTCTATTACCTTCCGCTGGAGAAATAAAATGAGCAGAAAAGTGGAAGGGGATGGCAGTTCCTCTGATTCAAATCAAGAACAACTCGGTTTAAACCACTGGAGGGAATGGAAGCGTAAGACAAGCAGAAGAGCAGATCTAGTGCTGTATGTCTAAATAGTACATCCGGTTAGAAAAGTGCTGATCAGGGATCTCAAGGCTCCTGGGTCTGCAGTACCAGGGTAGTCCAGGAATAGGATTACTAGAATTACAGGGAGGGGAAAGCAGGGTGGCCTCCATAGGCCCCCATCAGTATTTGTCAGTATGGCTTGCACAGTCAGGAAAACTGCCGTGGCAGCACGCAGCCTTCACCCCATCGCTGTCACAGCTGTACCCAGGCCTGCAGTCACATGTTTTGTTTTGAATGGAAAGAAGCCACATTTCAAATTATCAAAATCTTTTAAGTGCTCAGCAGTACTAATCAGTTTATGACAAACTCAACAGTAGTGCCCAATATTTAGTAATTTGCTTTTTTGGCTAATAGTCTTAAAAACAACCAGTGCTTCTCAGGTGTCTGATGTCCGGGATGGTCCATCTCTAGGAGAGCAGGACTTTGGGGCAATGACACACCAAATTTTAACTTCTCTGGAAAATTGAGTTAGTCATGCTACACTTTTTTTCCCCCAAAACACATCTGTTTTCCATGAAAGTTTTCCATCGTCAATTTAAACCCTTGGAAGGCAAAGGAAACTTTTGGAGTTGTCCAAAACAACATGATTCAGTTCTAAACACTGCTGTACTGACTCCAGAGTTGTTATAGCTGGGCTTGTTAGTGTTTCCATTTTCCCTTAGACACAGGGCTCTTGATCTGGACTTCATCATCTGCTGCAATTACCCTCCTCCCCTGAGACACCACTGCCTTTCACTGGGAGAGTGGACTGCGATGCTCTGTGGAAGTCCAGTTAAGGACCTGATCTTTCAGGGAGAAGAGAAGCACAGGGCCATTAAACCACAACTCCCAAGATGTGCCACCAAGACGCTTTAGGGTCAGAATAGTCCAGATTTCAAATCTTCACAGAGAATTTGGTGATCCTCTCTAGGAGGAAAGGAAACAAACCACATGACTTGTTGCATGTCAGCTGAGCTAAATTACCAAGCCCACATTAGGTTAGAAAAAGTAACTTCCCTATCTTATTACAGAATTTCCCAATTCTGTGCCAACTCCTTTGTCTCTTTATGATAATTAGAAAATTAGAGCCTTCTGAGATGCCCAACATCTGTCTGGGATCCTGGGTACTCCAAAAAGAGAGCCTTCTAGATACTTATGTACCAGAGTTGGCTTGTTTCCTGGTGGAGGGGAATCTGTCCGCTCTGACTAGGATGTGTAAACCAGTTAAATAATCCACGTTGGCAACCTGTGCTAGACAAGCAAGATGATGTCTCTGCAAGTCAAACTGAACCAGTTAAAGTCAGGGTTTAAGGGAAAGGGATTAAAGACACACTGCCTTATCTGTACAAGTCTGCTAATGCATGATAATTAACATCCTCTGAATCTTACTTTAGAGAAAGCATGGAAGTCCCTGGGCTGGTAACATGGAACATCCCCCTGACATTGCCTGCATGAACCACTTAATATCTAAACCTTTGTAGAAATGCCATGCACCAGAGAAGACAGAATCTGGGAGTATCACTAGGCAAAAAGCTGGATTTTCTGTTCCCTCCATCACTTCTGGGGCCCTTTCTTACCCTGGGAGCCACAAGCCAGGAAGGCGAAGGATTCCCTGAAAGTGCTCATCTTGTCTCCTTCCCTAGGGGGACAAGGGTGGCTGTGGGGAGGCTGCAGCGATAACGTGGGCTTTGGGGAAGCCATTTCCAAGCAGTTCGTGGATGCCCTGGAGACTGGACAAGATGCCAGAGCTGCTATGAACCTGCATAACAACGAGGCTGGTAGAAAGGTGAGCCCCATCTCTACTTCCAAATCTGAAAGTGGGTACCAGCTTTGCTCTGGCTATCCACTGCAGAGTTGTGCTCCTTTCTGTGGTAAAAGCATGTGCTCAGAAGAACTGATTACCTTGCTGAGGAGAAAGGGAGGCACGTTAGCGGTACTGACGTGATCCATGTTGTTTGCTCTAACATGGCCACCTCTCCACGATTACAGTGTTAACTCCTGCCTGGTGCCCTCTTCCTCCTTCCTCCCACTATAAATAGTACCATACCTTGGAGAAGCAAATCTGTGAGCTTTAGATCAACCGTCCCTGTGCAATGCTATCGCCCATAGGAAATCCCTCTACAGTCTTGGAGCAAAAACTTATCCTTGAGCTGCAGTATAGAAATGACCCCCATCAAGTCCTCTGGGCTTCCTCCTGAGACCCTTTTCTCTCCTCACCCTGCAGGCTGTGAAAGGAACCATGAAGCGGACATGCAAATGCCACGGCGTGTCTGGGAGCTGCACCACCCAGACCTGCTGGCTGCAGCTGCCTGAGTTTCGGGAGGTGGGCACCTACCTCAAGGAGAGGTACCACAAGGCCCTGAAGGTGGATTTGCTGCAGGGGGCAGGAAACAGTGCTGCCAGCCGGGGGGCCATTGCCGAGACCTTCAGCTCCATCTCCAAGAAGGAGCTGGTCCACTTAGAAGACTCCCCTGACTACTGCCTGGAGAACAAGACGCTGGGGCTGCTGGGCACAGAGGGCAGGGAGTGCCTGAAGCGAGGCAAGGCACTCAGCAAGTGGGAGAAGCGGAGCTGCCGGCGGCTGTGTGGGGACTGCGGGCTGGCGGTGGAGGAGAGGCGGGCCGAGATGGTGTCCAGCTGCAACTGCAAGTTCCATTGGTGCTGCGCTGTGCGGTGTGAGCAGTGCCGCAAAAGGGTCACCAAGTACTTCTGTGTCCGCAAGGAGAAGCGGGAGCGGAGCGGAGGTGGCGGGGCCAGCCGCAAGCTCAAGAGGAAGCTCTAACCAGCCCCTGCTCCTCCATGGTCCTGTTTGCCGCTCTCTTCCCCTTCCCTTCCCATCTCCCCAGCAGTCATCAGCACCATTCCCTTTTGGCTTAGTTTTGTCCCACTCTCAAACGGGGCCTTTTCAGCCAACACCACCTCACTAGGTCTTGGATAATGGAAAAGAAAGGGCATGAGCCCTAGGGCCATGTCTACACAGGGCATCTCCCATTAGTGCAGTGGCTGATGACATCTGGAAAGACACGCAGCTGTTTAAAAAGCAAAGTGAGATTTGGTCCCTTCAATCCGGAGTCACTCTGATAGCTCTGGTTTTATAGCAGAAAACACAGCCAGTCACTGTGGCCTGTGTTCTCTTGAGCTTGTCTGCTTCCCCAAGCAAGCACCTGCTCTGGGTTTTAAGCAAGTGAGATCTACACTCAAGAAGGCATGACTAAGCTGAGATGGCACCACCAGATTTGGGCCATGCAGAGTTGTAGTCCCTAAAACAGAAGAGGCTTGTTTGATAATTCTGGTGTCCTAAGAAATAAGAGGCATTAAAGAAATTGTCATTGCCTTTTATTAGGCCCTCCACTATGAGGGAAGATAAAAAGTGCATAACTCCTTTCTGCAGCAAGCCAGCCTCCAGAAGTGCCATAAATTCACATCCCATTCATTCACAGATTTGCTAAGCTCGCCCATGCCTTACTTTGCATTGGAGTGACTCCAGCAGCAAGATTTCAAGCTGCTGCTTGACCTGTCCATTAAAGAGCTGTCCAAAGGAGGGGTCCTATCTCTTGCTTTCACACACTTACTCTGTATCTTCTCAGCCCCAGGTCTGGCCACTCTTTTCACCCAGCACCCCAACCAAAGCCCTCGACTGATGCCATAACGATACCCTCACACTTCTCCTCTCCCTCTTTACTCCCAAATCTCTCCCAGAGAGCAGCTGCCAGCTGAGCCTACTCCCCACCTCCTGGTGTACTTGCCAAGCACTCTTACCCTGTCAGCTAACTAACTAAATACTTCTTCCTAGTCTGAGAAAATAATGTCAGTTACTATTTAATGGTGTTGTAAATAGGAATGTGAAGCACTTTGAAGTTTAATTTATTGCACAGTTACTGTGATGTATACATAACAGTTTTTCTCTACCACTTATTGTATATATTCTATAGGCTAAGCAAGCAGCAAGAAGATTTGGTTGATGCATCTCTGTTCCCTTGCCATCGTTGAGGTAGGGAGGGAAGAGGCTGTCAGCTGCAGGCCCTGGGCTAGCTCACTGCCCATCACAGTGATTTCCCCTGGGCTGTGAGGTTATTGTCTACTTTGCTGTTTGAAGTGTGCTTTAGACAGATGAGAAGCCAGCAGAGCTAAGTGACTGGCCATTAGACTTGTCTTGTAGCCAATGTTCGTAAACCAATAGCCAATGCAATAAATCATTAGCCAAGTGCTTGCAAAATGCTGGTGTGTCTAAGCAGTCATCCAATTGCATGTGTGGATACATGTGGTTACAGTTCTGAAAAGTAAACCTCAGCCACTTACCTAGTGGTGGGGAGACAGAATAAGAAGAGCCATTTCCCTGCACATAGCACCACCTCTGCCCCTACCACGAGGGGAAAGGGCCTGCTCTCTCCTTGAACTTGTCTGAGGTTGCATCCAACTGCAATGTAGCTACCTGGGAAGGGCAGATAGGAGCCCAATTGCCCATTTTAGAGATGACACATCAATGACATTCATCAGTCTATCTGTGTCTCTTGGCTAGAAAACATCTCCTTGATATCAGGACTCCTTTGCTGGAGACAGGAATTTGGACCTAGTGCAAACCTGGGGTCTCCTCTGAGCAAGACTGCTCACATCAAGCAAGAACCTGGCCCTTCAAAAACAGCCCATCCTCAGGGAAAGCTGAAACACTTCACACACACAAGCCACCAGCTGTTTGTTCAAGGGTTCTTATTAGCACAAGGACCCTGCCCTAGATTTCCCTTGCATCAATGTCAGTAGATACTCCTTCACACTGCCCTGCTCTCTATCTCCCTGCAGTGGGGTATGTCCTCAGGCAGGAAAACAGAGAGCTCCCACCTCTTGCTCCATGGGGGAAGGCTCCAGCATAGGCTGGCTCCGAGTGTCAGACTGCAAGGCACAGAGGACAGCTTCTGCCCCCCTCTTGGCCCTCTCAGACACCCTTTCCAAGGCCAGTTTGAGAAGAAATAAAAAGGGGAAGATATGGAAGTTGCTCCTCATTTCTTCCCCCTCTCCAGTACATGACAGGGCATGGGACCCCTTCCCTCCCTTGCCGTTACGACTGCCCCACACAGTTGCCCCGCAAAGGTTATGGCAGAGCCCAGGATGCACCCTCTTGGTGCAGTGACATCAGCCAGTGGAAGGCAACCAAGTCCCCCTCCCTGTTGCTGCCAGAGTGAGGGGGCGCACAGGGAGCATTACAAGCAGGGGCCCCACCGCTGCATGCATTTTTCTGGGACAAAATGGCGACAACGCAGCTGCAAAATGTGCTGACCTCAGCAGCAGGTCAGGCCCAGAGGGGTACTGCTTCTAGGCAAAAGGAGCCCTTAGTGGTAAAGGCACTGCTGCCATTGTGCAGTAGGATTGGATGCTTCCATGTATTCATTTCGGTTTAATGAAGGCGCATTCCTCAGAGGAGAAATATTTACATTCAGCTTCCCAGGTGGTCACCTTCGCCCAGATGACACACAAACAGGCAGCCCCCCGCTCCCTTTTCCAATCCAAACCTCTTTAGAGGGCTCAAGGAGGAGGGGAGCAGAAGGAGGGGGGTGGCCGGGGGAGTAGAACAGAGAAGGGAACAAAATGCTAATAAATCAGCCAGCCAGCCCTTTTCCCCTCCCCTCTGTGGAGTCAATGGAAAGTGTCATTTCACATGCTAATCCCCCTCCGCTCTCTTCACAACACCTTTTCCGAAAAGTGTTTGGGAAAAGTCCTTGTGGCCCGTTTACAGCTCCCTGCCGCTTCGGATTCCTTCTTGTCTAAGGCCGCGGCCCCCGTGTGGGTCTCTCCCTCCAGCAGGGCTCCTTACAAAAAAAATCTCAACAAAGACTTTGGAGTTCATCAGCCTCCCACTGAAATTCACAGCTGCTGAACAAACTAATCCCCTCTCTTGGCCTTTCTTCCTTTCAATGGGTTCTTGGCTTCAAAGACACTTTGGGAAAGGACTTTGTGGGGACTCACACTGCTCCCTCAATAGAAGTTAGTGCAAGCATTATCTTCAGAGCAAGTGGCTTTACAAACAAATACTGCCTAACAATCTCTGCCCCTCCAGCTCCCCCAAACACACACAAGCCTAGCCTGCAGACATGATGTTATCTGCAACAGGATTAGAGCTCAGCTTGCTCTGTGCCCAAGGATCCCTTCCTACTGCCCCCCCAACTCTTTGTCAACTCAAAGGCCTTCTCACCCAGCAGAAAATGCTTTCTCTGTTGAGCAGTGCAGGATGCTGCGGGAGCATGTGCCCACAGGGGAGGAGGCAATGCCAAGCAGCTGCTGTCCATAAACCAGAAGCTGTTACCAGCCAGTAGAGATAGTGCTATAACTGGAGCAGCTCCGTCCAGTGAGGCCTGCGAGTCAGCACATGGCATGAGGGCCCCAGAGACCTGGGTTCTGTCCTTGGCTCTGCCATGAGCCCCTCAAGGATCCTTGGGCGGGTTAATTCACCACCCCTCTTGCCTGGTTGCCCTCCAGTGCTCACTGGAGTAGGCCTGGCACAGAACTGAGCAACAACATGGCAAAGGGAACAAGCAGGAAGGACATGCAAAGGCAGGTTAAATAGCTAGTCCCTACACAAATCCATGGATAGTAGAAACAGTACACTGGAGGGAAATTGAGAGCCAAACACATCTGAGAAACACAAGGAAAATCCAGGCTTATTTCTCCGTGGTACAAGTGGCCTGAGTTAAAGAAACAGCCAGGGTGGACTGCACAAGGTACTACAACTGGATCCAAAAAAGCAGAATCTAAGAAATATGATGCTCATTAAATCATGTCAGAAAGTCTGAGGACTTTGCTTATACACAGGTTAAGCACATCAGAATCCCTGGGGCTACCTGCTTACTTGTTCAGCTTCAGAAAGGGTCATAACACAAGTGCAGCTCCTGAAAAACAACTTGCATCTCCCCATTGGCAGACAGCTGGGGAGCTGTCTGATTGCTAACTGCTCCCAGACCTGGCTGCAACATCTCTGCAAGCAAGACTACTGTCCAGTTGGTATTTGCCTCTGTGAGCAACAGGACTAAAGCTGCTTTTCCAGTTTGTATCTACTGTGTCCATACACCTCAGATCCCTCAAATTCTGTTCCCTTTCCAGCAAGGACCCTTGTAACGTTCCTCACACACCAAGCACTCTCTCTAAACCTTGGCCTCCTCCCAAGTCCTCTAACCAGGAGCCAGGTAACAGTCCTGCTTATTTCACACATTTTTGCATGTTGACTGGCAGGCCCATACATGTACACCAGGTAGCCAGCTGGTAGCAAAAAGAAAATAGCTCCTTTGAGCTTATATCACTCTTTTTTGCAAAAGCTAGATTGATTTCCCCTGCTTTATCCAAGTACTGATCTTTCACTTCAGACTTCTTACTTACAGAAAAGCTTAAATGAAACTGGCCAATAGATTCAGAAGTTATTATCTAATGGCAAGAACTGACAATTCAGTGGTATAAATCTGATTTACACAAAGGGGGTCACATCCTCAGCCTAGTCTAAGCAATACTGCTTTAGTGGTGTAATGCAGACTTGCAGCAGGAGAGGATGTCATTCAGGACTCTGCTTGCTTGCTGACATACTTTCAAGTCCTGATATAAAGTGCAAAACCCCCGTGATCATGGCCAAAAACCGCTGTGATTCCCCAAGGGAACATTAGCCACCCCACGGCCCTCCTAGTTGCATCTGATGTAGATGAATAGTCACAGCCACGGAAGGTGATCTGGGCAGTGGGTTAGGCCTGAGGTCTTGCCACACAAGGATGTTTGCTGCCCACACCAGCAGAGCCCAGAATCTGGTCTGCCCCACACCTTTTTGAATTCCTCTTCTCACCATAGCTGAGAACTCAGTGGGTGGCCCTGCAGATTGAGACAAGTCTCCTGAAGGCAGAGGTGACAGGCAGCTGCCTGTAGGCCCAAGCCTACGAAAGACGCTAGCAGCATCACAAAATGCAGCTTTTATTTCACTGTTCTGTAATCTCTCAGTGCATCAAACCACAGCAATGGCAACAGAACACAGCAGCAACAAGGAGGCACTTTGACCTGGCAAGGAGAGAGTGAGCCCTGCCCTCTCCCTCCTCCCTCGGCTCATGGTAGAGCAGGCTGATTCGCATAAGTCACTGAACCAGGGGCTCATAATAGCAGTATCACTCTAGCAGCAAGCAGAGGAAGTGGGGGCAGGCTGCAGCCAAATGGTGGGAAGAAGCCTTGCTCCCTGCCAGGGTCTAAGGATTTATGCTGCCTGTTTAGTAAGAAAGAGGGTGAAAGGAAGAGAGGGAGGGAAAGACAACACACACACAGATGTGTCCTAAAATCCTATCTGCCTTCCCAGACTTCTTCCACGGGACAAATATGCTTCATTCATCTGTTTCATCCCAAAGGAAATGCCATAGTGATGAAAAGCCTCAAAATAGCCACATCCTCAAGACCTGACAGCATCACCCCCTGCAGCATGTTCCTGTCACCATGGTGCCATGGGATCTTTCAGAACCACCCTCACACACATCCATTACTATAGGCAGAATGCACCCACCACACTTGCAGCAATGAGCTGTCTCCCCCTGCTCAAATCTAGACAGTTCAGAGCAGCTTAACGGGACTCTTTAAGGGACTTGTACAACCCCTGCTGCTTCTAAAGCCCTTAGACTGTCTGGAAATCCCAATATGGAAAGCCTTTAGAGCCTAAACACTGGTTGGCAACAGGCCAACTGTGCTAATATAAAAGAAGTGAAAAAGGCCAAGAGCCAGACAGTGCAGCTTTCAGCCCAAATACAGGGTGCTACTGGCTCTGGGGAGGAGTGCACTGAGCAGGAGTCCAACCTGCCAGCATTCCTGAGGATGGGAGAGTCCCCAAAGCTAGAAGGGGGGAAACAATCCTAGCCCTAAAACAAAAAGGCTCAAACCTGGGGCTTATGAGGAAGAGATGAAGGAGGTGGGAGAGGGTGCACAGAAGGCTGTAGAAAGAGGATTGAGTGCAGAAGAAAGAGATAGAACCAAAGTGAGCCCAGAGCAGGCTGGTAGTCAGCCCTAGTGGTAGCAGGGTAAGAGGGCAAAGGAGAGAGAGGGAGAGAGAGAAAGAGTCAAGGATCAGAATGAAGAGAAAGGAGGAATGAGAGGAGAGAACCTGACCACAGCCCAATGGAGCAGGAACATCCCAGCTTAAGTCCCAAAGGAGTCCAGCTGTCACTAAGGAACAGTTTACGCACGAGCAGGGAACAGACCCTGAGGCTCTTCTGTCTGGTGGTGCTGCAGGTGCCAGCTCTCTTTGCTTCCTACTGAAAAGTCATGTCAGCCTGGGAGTGAAGGAGTTTCCCCTCTCTGGTCAGGTAACAGGGAAGAGGAGACCAATGAAGAGCAACTCTGGGAGGATCTGTGTGTAACCTGGACAGTCTGAAATTGAGATCCCTGGGCTAGGAAACAGCCTCACACTGTGAGAGAGAGAGAGAGAGAGAGAGAGAGAGAGAGAAAGAACAGTTTCCAGCAGACCCAGCCCCCAGTAGGCTCTCTGGAGAGCAGATAGGACCAGGTGCACTGGCCCAGCACAATTCCAGACACTGGCACAGACTTATTTCTCCAGAGCCAGAGGGAGAGTCCACAACCTGCAGCACATCAACAGGTGAGGGAGTCCACCAACTCAGTGCACCACTGCACCAGCTGCTTCAGACTTTAGACATTCAGCTTGCCAGCAATGGTCATGAGGACTTTCAGGATGGGCATGAAGCCAGACACCTCACTGAAACTGCTGCTGCTCACCACTTGGGTGTGAACCAGGAGACCCTGCTGGTAGTTTCTAGCCTCAATGCAGCGGGCAATCTCATGGAGACCCATCAGGATGGTTGGAGAGAGCTGTAGGAAGGGAACAGAAATGCATCAGCATGCTCAGCACTATAATACAGGCCTCCTCCTTCTGCACCCTTCCCTTCTGCTGTCCTCCTCATCCTCACCAAACTCAGTACCTACAGAGCCAGGTACTGGCATAAAGGATAGCCTGCTCCCCTGCTGGGTTATAGTAAGCATAGGTCCTAGGTAATGACACTTCAGCATTAATTGAATATTTGACATACTTTAGGAGGTCAAAGGTCCATCTAGCACAAAATTCTGTCTCTGTTTGGGCCTAATACAGACACTGAGGAAAGCGTTATAAAGACTCCACCCGTGACATATATCCCTCCAGGAGTTGATATGAGCAGTTCAGGAGCTTTCCTAGTTGCCCATTCCTGTATGCCAGCATACTTCCCATAAGTTCCTTCCCAGGTTTTCCTTACACAATTTCTGGGCCAAGGTGAAGGGGGAAGGAAGGGAGATAAGGCTGAACGGATTCAAGGAGCGTTGTAAGGTTTGGCACTCCCCTAGCTTTTCTCAAGAGAGAGAAAACACTTTTTTCTGATTTTTTTTTGTTTATTTGTGCTCAAAACACTGGGAAAGAAGCCAAGGCCCACAACCCAGCACAGAGGAGAGATCAAGAACCCAGCCTAACTACAGGGAACAGTGGCAGCTACTTACTGCCTGCTCTCTGAGCTTCTCATACAAGCACTCCAGCCGTTGCAATGCATCCTCCAGCTTCCTTCGAGTTTTCTGAAGTGAAATAGGCATTGTTGGGCTTCAAATTCACCTCTCCCAGAATCAAGTCGACCTGGCTCAACCCCTCCTCTCTTTCTCCCACAGCCCCTTGCAATTCAGCTGTGTCCCAGCCTATGCCAGACAAAGCACAGCCAGGGACTGTGATACAAGCCAGCATCCCATGCCCTCACTGTGTGTGTACATGGGTACATGTTCTCTCCCCAGGACAGGCAGCTGGATCTGTCACTGTCCCCAACTCCCAGCCCAGGCATTCCTCCCTTCTGCCAGTGCATGCAGACTACAGGAGAGAGCAACTACTTCCGAAGATTGAGAAACATCCACTGACTGACCCACTGGGCATTCAGACAGCCTCACCCTGGCTGACCTAAGAAATAGCTCCTTCCCTGTCTCCTCAAGGAGAGGAGGGAATATCCTTCCCACACGAGGTAACCACCAAAGAAAGGGGTTGTGTACTGAAGGTCTGGTGGGATAGACTCCATTAGCCCCACCCTGGATAATAATATCCACAGGTAAATCGCACTGTGGATAGCAACGATTGGCTCTGGGCAATGCTGGGGCAGGCGTGGCAGGACTTAGAAGCTCAGGTGCATTACTGTGTCAACCCAGCTATTCAATTTCTATGTTACCTTGGAGCTATGGATTACTGAGCCCAAACACCAACATGCCTTTCTCTCCCTACAGGGAACCTTTAGATGCTCTCCCACAAATTGCTGCTCTGGGCTCCTAGAAGGTACAGAGCAAACATGCTCAGGCTGATGCTTCACATAAATTGTTTAATTTCATGACAGCTTGACAGTTTGGGTTCCGTGCTAGTCCCAACACCCACTAAGTAGAGGTCATCTGGGAGACTTCACAGTGGCCCCAAGGTCTGGGAAGACTTAGCATCCTAACACAATGCTGCAAAAACTGCTCTTCCGGTTCCAGACACAGTCAAGCCTGATACATTCATGCAACATGGCATGCATGCCAATAGCCCTCCACAAGCCAGGGGTGGAGAAACAACAATGCCTCGAAACTAAAGATCGTCTGGCTTTCTCTTCTAGCCAGGGTATCCCTGCCTTTCCCTCTAAGGTCTGAGGATGGTCAGCTCTGCAAGAACTATCTACAGGTCGAGGCAGCAAAAAAAAAGAGGCTGGATTTGCCGAGTTGTTTTTTCTGTTTTCCTCAGAGAAAAGAGCCAGGAGGACAGAACCAAGCACACTCGAGAGGCAATGGATGAGTGCTAGAGAATACATCTCAAGTCCCAAAAGATGGACAAGCCTAGGGCCTAAAGGGAGGAGGTAGATGGAGATTAACCTGGATATAGGGAGAGGACTCTTCCTCTCTTTTCCTTACCAAAAGAAAGAAGTCCCTATCAGAGATCTGTTAGGGCAAAAAAAACAAAGAGCAGAGAAGAGAGGACTTACTGGATCAGTGGCAATAGCAGAGCAGCGCTGCACCAAATCGTCAAATGTGGTCTTCAGACCCTGATGCTCAGGGGGCAATCCCTTTCTCTCGACCCGCTCCACAGGCAGCTGGTGATACTGACAGAGAAAGAAGCGGCTGAGTAAAAGCAACAGGAGCATGAAAGGCCAGGTCAGGCAGAATCCCCACCTGCAACTACAGACAGAAAGCAGTTCACTCCTTGGCAAACTTGGGAGAACATCTGGAAGCACTGGGTTATATTGTCATACTGAGACTGCAGATAGCTTCAGGCCTCTGTGGGCTCCTGATTCCCAGCAGGCAGACAGCCTAGCTGGCCTCCATCCCTCCCAGCTCTGCCAGGTGTCATTTTCCACCTTGGCAGCAATTCTAATAATTCCTCTAAAACCCAGGCAGAGATGTCTTCCACGGGCAAAGGGACAGGTATAAGCCTGGCAGCTGCCACGCAATAAGAACCTCAAAGGCTGAGTTGCTCTTCTACTTGACTAGGAGCAAATGCCTTGGGAACGCCCCAGTTTCCCTGGGTACCTGCAGGCTGCCTTCCTTGGGTGCTCCTGGGGGTGACTGGCCAGATTCTTGCAACCTGGAGAGCTGAGGATGGATCCCTTGGAGCTCCGTGGGGAGGCTCATTACTGGAGCTGTGATGGGGGCTGGAGGTGTAAATTTCTCTGGCAACTGTCAGCAAAAGGAAACATTTAAAAAGAATCAGTGCTGCAAGAAAATCAAGTCCAAGGAAGGAGGGTCGGTCACACTCTTCCCAGTCAAATTCAGTATCCTTCCTAACTTGCAGAGTCCCCAGTTCTCAAAGTGATGTGCACTACAACCCTGTTCTTTCAGCCCACTGACTCAGAGCGTAGGGCCCTTCCTCTCACATCAACAGTCAAAGCAACAGCAGGAAAACTCCACTGGGATTGTTCAAACAGATTTGTTGTCCCCAAAAGCACCGCTCCTCAGAAAGCCGCCTTGGCTCTGCGACGGCACGAGTCCTGAATGTAGAGATTAGCAGCAGTAAAGTGTCCGACAGAGGAAGTGCTGGGGAAAATCCCACAACATGGGGGAGGAATCCTCTTGCAAACACTTCATCATGCCCCTACTAAGCCAGAGAGTCAGGATAGATTCGCTCTGACAGGGCTAGATCAAAAGGAGATGGCTTTAACAAGAGGTTAATCCTGTTGTAGTGAGCACAGCCTGAAGCAGGTTCCCAGATATGCTGCCAGAAAAAGGGCTAGAAGTCTGTTCCAAGCTAAAGAGCGGGAGCTGGGGTAGGAATGGTGCCAAAGAAGCTTCTCATCACACCTGCCAGCAGGCAGCAGTGATGGAAATTGGGTACGAAGAGCATTTGTGGCAAAGGAGCCCAGCTCACAGGTCCTCCAGTGGAATCACTGTGAGGCAGAATGTAGCAGGGCCAACAGGGCAGGCAGCTCACAGCTGCAACTCTTTCAGTAGAAGGTGCTACACGGTTGGTATCAGCTTCTGAGGAATCACTGTGGTTCTCGCTATGCTGAGAGGAAATGCTGCCCCCAACTGTCAGATGTAAAGTGAGCATGACTTCTCCAGCCCCGGTCAAAAAAGGTGGGTGGGCAAGGGGATAAGGAGTTTAAATCTGTATTGCTAGAAACAAGTGACTGCAGTCAGCCTGGGAAGTACCAACAGAGAATGCAGCACCACAGATGATAAAATGCAGAACAGGCACTTTGGAGAATGGCATGCGAGTCTGGATGGCAAAGGGACAAGACTTGGATGGATTCCAGCCTTAGCTGAGTGCACAGTGCAGAACTGGACAGACCTACATGGAAGAGGAGCTGCTGACTGCAACAGGGAACATTTATCAGAATTCAGCTGTTGCATGGAGGTGCCTGGTTGCAAGACAATCAGGAGATATTTGAGCTGAAAGCTTACCTTTTTCTTCTGAAGGCCTCCTCTTGCAGCAGAGGGATCAGTCCAAGATTCCTGAGCTGCCAGGGCAGAGAACAAGACATGGATGTCAGACTTTAAGAAGGCAGTCACAGTAGCAATTTGTGGTTGCTTTCATGGTTTGGAACTTCCCTCAGCAAAAAGACCCACACCTCCGATTTCTTTACCCTTGCATTGCCGCATTTTCAGACACTTCAACCAAGGAATTTGAGGCTCACCTCATGACGCAAGAACTGCTCTCTGTTCCCTTTCTCTTTCTTAATTACATTTGTAGCATCTAAGCATGCGCACAGACTGTATAAGGTGACATCTGATCAGACTGTTCGGGCGCACGCACACAGCTTTTTCTGCAATTACCTGAAGCTTTCCATATTCTGCACAGGCTGCAGGAGTCAGCCTCAGACTTTGGTCAGGACCTGCATGTGGGTGCACATCAGGGTTCAGGGACTGCCTGGGGGTTCCCCAAACAGGGGATGGAGGGCTGTGGAACTGCTGCAAAGCCTATGCTATAGGTGAGAGGGTTTCTCACCAATGCTTGCAGGAGTGCCTCATGGTGGCAGTCCATAGCAATGCAGGTTCCTGTGACAGGAGAGGGATGGAATTTTGGGTTGAATTTTCCCCTCATCTAAAAGCATGTTCTGGACCAAAGCTTGGGAAATTTTGCTGGCTCCCTAGCTAGAAGGGAGCAGAGCTAACTGATAAATTTATCAGTTTTGGGAGCAGACAGATATCTCAGCAGATATTTCTGTGGTACCTTGCTTCTAATCTCATTCCAGGCTATTAAAAATACATCACAAAACACGAAACCCAAAGGCTTGTGGCCACACTTCATTCTGCTAAGGTCAAATTCCAACTATCTTGCTTGTTGCCACTCTTAAAGGGTATCTGGATCTCAAAACAAAACCCCAGTGCAATTTATTTATTTATTTATTTATCGTCACCCCAGTATTTACCTCAAGCCTACAGGATGGGAGGATTCTGTGAGAAAGTGGCATAGTTTTAAGAGGCAATATCAGAAGAATTTCTGGAGCTCAGTGCCACACTTAATGAGCCACTGATCCTGAACTGAGCTTTAAAACACAGGGGAAAGAGCAAAAGGTGCTTCATTATTTTAATTACCTTTATTATTACAATTCTGGCAGCTTCTTTTTGCCCTCCCTTTTCCCATGATTTCAAGGCTCATTCTCTGATGAGTTTGAATCAGTAGTTTAATTAAGTTGGCACTTATTTCTAGCTTGGGGATTCTGTGCCCTAGAACTCCACTGGCCCCCACTGAGCCTGTGGCCTAGCAGTCCCTGGCACTGCTCCAACTCAGTGGCACTTTGAATCCTCACAGGAAACAGCTATTTAAATTATAGTCGTTAAGTCAGGCTCTTAAGGTCATCAGTCATGAGATGACAGAACCCTGCTGCATTTTTCTGGGATGAAACCCTGACTATCTTCCCTACGCTACAGGCGAAAGAGGATTTCTCACCAATGCTGGAAGAAGTGCCCCACGACAGCAGTCTCCAGCAACGCCTGTCCTAGAAAAATCCAAATTGTCACAGGATGGAGTAAGGGATTATCCTGGCCAGAAAGGAGATCAGCCAGCATGTTACTGTCTTTCATCCTGTCCCTGACACTCTTCCAGAGCATGGGATTTCTACAAACAAAGGTCTCTCTTCACTAAGCTAGTGAGAATTTGTCCATGAGATGTTCAGCTAGGGGAATTTCCAAAGCAAGCAAGTTTGGCCAGTCAGACTGAGTGATTTAACAGAGTCTTTCCAGCTGTTTAAAAAAAAAAGAAAAGAAAAAAAAAGGCAGGAAACCACTCTCTAGGAAGTAGGAAGCCTATTTGCACGTGGTGATCTGGGCATGCCTTTCACATCTATTAAAACTAACCATGGCAAATGCCTGCTGGGGAAGAGAACTTCTCAGCAGTGAAGTCCCACAGAACACCTTCAGCCTGAGAAAATGATTGATATCTTTGCCTTGGAATAATCTTTTATTTCTCTGCTGAAGGACAATCCTTTTTCTAGGGTCTTACTCTACAAAGCTGGGCATGCTAGGTGGCACAAATAGGTACCCAGTACCCAGATTTCCTAAACAAACTGGATAACTGGAGAATCCCTAGATAATCTCTGTGCCTGGCCAATGGTCACATGGCACAAGAAGCTACTACTGTACAGAATCATCCCACTAAAACTCCGAGCCATCAGCAGTGTAGACTGGAAAAGACCTACTCTCTGTCATCAGACCCTAAGGAGAAAAATCAGTACAAAGCAGCAGCAAGAAAAGCTCAAGGGTCCAACTTCTCTCAGCAGACGGACTGAGATTCAAACCCAAACCTTGTCCTGTAACTAAAGCCACAAAGGCTTTCTGATTCCCCTTGGAACAGAGCCCCCAAATTCTCCTGGGGAAGCTCTGCTCCACCACTACCCTTGCTGGGATTTGCCTCTTCCAGCCCACCTGGAAAGAACACAACCACAAGTAAAGCATGCATGAAGCTAGCAGTGCAACAGGGAGAAAACAAGAGGTGAGTTAAAACTGCTGGCCTATTCCTTGTGTAGGGACACAAGAAAGGAACAGAGCCCTTGTCCCTGTCCTACTGGCCCAACAGCTGTCAGAAGAGATGCAGAGACTTAAAATGCTCTGATCCTTCCATGATTGCACCCCTCCCAGGGTGCATCCCCTTGTACCATCCCCAAATGTCACTTGCTAGTTCCCAGGACAAGTATATCTACTACCCCAGCTGTACAGCTCCCCAGGCATGCAAGGAACACAATGAACAGCAATGAGCATGCATGCATGCACACACACATATGCACACACCCCCCACATTTCACTGGAAGCAGCAACATTGCCTCCTCCACAGATCTGGAGGCTTCTCTGTGTACTACCTGCATGATCCAAGTGTGGATCTAGCCAAGGGAAGAAACCTAAAAATCAAGGCAGGGTGGGAATAAGAGTGAGAGTCACTGTCACCAACAGCTTTTACTTAGTGTGTAATGTCCTGACTGCTATCCCTGATAGCTTTTCAGAAGGGATTTGTCCAGCCTGAGCTTAGAACCTTTGTATGTAGCCACGACAGGCTTCACAAAGTGGGATTTGCTATTCTTGCTTAAACCCAGCTTAGTGATGGATTCCAGGTGGAGGCAAACCACAAAGCATCAGCTCCTTCGCTCTCAGAATACGCGTGGCCCAGAGAAGCATCTGCTCAAAGACCTAAGGATCATCTGCCTTTTTCTGAAGGGTCTCCACAGCCTGGCCAAATCTTTCCTCTGAGACAGAAAACAAAGAATTAACAAGCACCAGTTGTGCTGATGTTGTGGGAAATGGAAAGAGGGGCCGCCAAACAATTGGGAACTAGCTCCAACAACTCTACGTTTTCTTCATTGTGCTAGCGAGGATTTCACAGGACTTGCAGACTGGGCTGGATTCAAACCACAGACCCAGAATGGAAAGGCTCCAGGTCTAGAGTACTGTACAGAAGGATCCAGAAGAGATTCCCAGGCAAGCATTTTAGGGCAACAGGAAGCAACTGGGTGAACTGGAGCACGGCAGATAGAGGAATTCTATCCTGAAGTTAGGTAACAGGTATCCCATGGACAGAAAAGAACCACCCTGCTCTCTCAGCATTTCAAATGCATTTATTAAGTTAAGTTAAGCAAGGCATCCCCTGGGAACCACCACTCTTTCAATCAGAAGAGATTCCTCCGGAGTGGAGGATTACTCAGGGTACATTGGGGACCTGAAGAGACAGCACTTTGTAGTAACAATCTGGGGGACAGAGCAGCTGAGTAGCCTGAAATAGTCACCATCCCTGTGTTTCACCATCATAGTAAGACTCAGCACAACATACCTATAACATTAGCCCCACAGAGCACAAGATCCAGCCTTTATGGTGATAGACCAGAGCTCTGTAGGCCAATGTCCATTAAGCACTACAAACCCCATCCAGGAGTGTCTTGGATACATGTCGCACAAGCAGTATTTACCTGTGGGAGGTGGAGGAATGCTGGTTGCTGCCAGGGGCTTAGCAGATGGGGCTCCAGGACCTCCCTGAGGGTAACCCATATTCATGGGGCAGTTGAACGGCGCTGAAGAGAATCCAAGAGGAGACTGGCTTCCCACAGGGAGAGGACAAGCTGCAGAGAGCTGAGATGATGGGACAGAGGCTGGAGTGAAGAGGGTGGGTCCAGGTGGTGGCACACCAGGAGATGCCATGGCCATGGACTGTCCTGACAGAGGAGGCTGGCTGGGAAAAGGAGCTGGACCAGCAGGTCTGGCTCCCGCTGGGCTGAATGGCTGAGACTGTGACAGTGCTACAAATGAGAGACAGTGTATCAGCACCACCTATCCCATGCTCAAACTACTACTATGGCTCTCCTTCATGCTACTAAGCATTCCTTCTCCAAGGCAAGCCCTAGAAGATCCACATCTGGGGTATCCCCCTATAAGTCAGGCTACATCAGTCAGACAAACCCTGTCACAAAGTCAGCAGCAGCTTCTCCACCTCCATCTGCAGCTAACATGGCTGCAAGTAAAGCACAGCTGCCAGGACCAGCTACGTCAGAAGCACTGAGAAGGCACTTTGACAGCTGACTTGTACTTGCAAAGAACAACGGACCCATGAGGAAGAGGTAGAGCAGCCTCCTTTGCTGAAGACTTTGGTCTAAAAAGCCTGAAGCACACCTGGAAAACTGATGACAGACAATGCTTACCGGGCCCTGGAACTGCCACTGGAGGCAAGCCCAAGTTGTAATGTGGGTATGGGGACCCTCTGGAATAGATGCTTGTTTGTGGACCAGCATTGGTCTGAGGAGGTGCAGCATGGTGAGCAGTCACAGACATCGCTGGCATCGGCTGAGGCGTGAAGAGGGAAGGCACTGAAGACTGAGCAGGTGCTGAAGGTGTAAATGACGACTGGTAGGTGGGCTGCAATTAAAAAAATAAGAACTTGCTAAGGGCTGATAGACACATGTAGGGATACACATGCATACACACACATAAGCAGATTTCCTCTCTATCCATCACTTCTCAGGCAAGGGAAGACACTGCTTCTATCAGTGCTCTGGAGAGACTGAAACAAAGGCCTCACTGCTCTCAGGAGCACACAGGACCTCCTCCACCATCACCATGCTGGGCAGGAGGAGGCAAAGAGCACAAGACTGACAAGGGTCAGAGACAAGGGTCCACAAGACCTTGCCCACAAGATAAGGGTGCTGCCCTCTCTGCCAGTGCAAGGCTTGTGGGCCATGTCTACCTCAGTGCTTGTAATCTGCACCATCTCATAAAATTTCACATTCCACCCCCCCAGCCCAGTAGCTTCCTTCCTTCTTCCCAGGCCATGAATACCTGAGTTTAAGGCCTACCTTCTCTGGATGTCTGGGACTTGGTTTGTGGGCTGCTCCTTCAGAGGTGGAGCTGCTCTTGGCTGCTGGAGATACGTGTTTAGCAACACCTACGTGAATATGAGTGTAGGGGAAAGGTGGAGGCTGTTGATCAGCCACATTCTCTCCCTGAGCATGGAAGAGCCGGTCACGGAGCTGTCGGATCAGGAGCTGAAACAAACTACACTTTAGGGAAGTATCTCGAGCACCGCAGACTGAGAATGCTGTGGAGGCATTCAAAGCAGACCCTGACCAAAAGCACTGAGCATCAACCTGCAAAATTAACCATTTCTCCAATAGCCACCAGGAAAAAAACTGCAAGTCACAGGATCTGGGAGACCACCTATCACCTCCCCACTTTCACTGATTCTTCCTGCAGCACTTAGGGCATTTCCACACCCATGTCTGTGCACTGAACAGATTTGCTCTGAACTACAAGATGACCTCCCCATTCCCTTTCTCTTCCTGCATCAGCTGGTTTCAGGATTAGGTGAATCTTCTCTGGGAAGCTACTTCCCAGCACTGCTCTCCAGGAACCATTCTGCAGCATTTTAGTTCCTCTCCTTTTCCCCGAATGAAAGGTACTATGAAAAAAGGCAAATGAAGACAAATGCTGCATCTTAGAAGAACTAAGAAGTCTACTCTCAAGTTACCATTATTCAGGTAAAACCTCAAGTCCTGATATGAGTTGAAACCCAAGCTTACAAGTCTGCTGCAGAAAGTATCCCCTTCCACATATACTACTCTGACCCATAACAACCTGTTTCTCACTCACCTCTTTAGAGCTGCTGGGTAGATAATTCATTGCGGCTGCCAAGCATCCTTGTGATGCCAGGAGGCTGGCATACTGGGTGATTCGTTCCGCCAAGACAGGGCCTGGCGCTGGCCCTGCTGTGCCTCGGAGCATCTCAATGGACCTGCTCAGCACCATCACCTTCTCTATCAGATCCTGAATAGGCAGGAGGGGAAATAAAATCTCAGGAAGAAAAGGACCCCTCAGAATCTGATTCGCTTTGCTGGTCTATCTCATGCTGAGACAATGCCAGATGGCTTTCTCCACTTTCAACCGACACAGGGGCCAATGTGATTACAAGTTAATCCACTTGGCACCACGTACTATAACTGAAGACCATTTCCATGCAGAGCTGGAAACACAGGAGCAGCAACACTTAGTGGAGGAAAACAGAAATCAAGAAGTAAACCCTGACACAGCTACTTTTACGGTAAGGGGAGGAAAAAAAAAAAAAATTAAGAAGCCACAAGGACATTCCAATCAACTGTGTCCTTTTTTTTCCACTAAGAAGTTTACTCCTGTCATTCTAGGAGTTACAGGATATCAGTTTGGAAGAGAAAGCATCAAAAGCGTACCAGGAGAAATTAACTAGGAAAAACTGCTACTGCTGACAGCCTGACTAGAAGGTCTTTAGTTATTCAATGCTCCTTCAACTCCTAGAAATCAAAGTAATGTTTGTAACTGCAGAATGATATAAATATCACTGGTTGATAACAGACAGGGATAAGGCCAGTTTCAAACATAACCAGGAATGCTGCAGATGCCTTTTTGCTGCTGCCATTCACTAGTGGGGCAGTAGGACCAGAGACCTCTGTAGCAGAGAGCATTATCTGCAGGCATCAGAGTGGAAGACTTGTCTCATTCCTTATAGTGACTGATGGACCCAAAGGGGGTTAGTGGCTTGGCCGGGACTGGTTTAAGTATAACAGGCAGACAACAACACTGACTTAGGACTTAGATTTCATGCTCAGTGCTTAGTCCTGATTTCATCTTCAAGCTCTGCTCTGACTTTCCATACGTGATCACTCTGCTTACAATGGGAAGAAACAGTCTAGACTTTATTTTGCCAGAGGCTGTTCTAGATGAAGGTAGAGCCAGATAATAGGAACCTTACAGTTAGACATGATTAGCACAGCAGGAAGTGTGCTCCCAGGCAACTACCAGCCAGTACCAGCCAGCTAACAGATACAGTCTAAACTTCCCTAACTAAAATGGAAGCTCAGAGACGACAATAGTAAATACAAAGACAGGCAGCAGTACAGAACTCCTGTCTGTGGCTGGATTTGTGAAGTGTAATCAGTACCCTCTAAACAAACCCCTTATCATTTAAGGGTGCAAGTCTCCTTTAGATGTAACCCCATAATCCAGGCCAGAAGGAGATACTTGGTTGAAAGCACTGTCTGCTGGAAGCCAAACATTCTGTTTGAGGGGATAACGCAAACAGATTGGGGCTATCAGACTGGCCTAGAGAGGTGTCAAATCAACATCATAACACCAGTACCTGCAGGGCAAGGGGTGATGAAGTCTCATGGTTTTTTACCCAGCATTCCACCAACCTCTCCACATTGCCTGATGAGATATAGCAGAGGCAGGCGTCATCAGACAGGGCTGCATCTCCCTCTGACTCTAAGCGGGCACCCAGCATGTCTACAGAGGAAGAAGCACAGCTGACATTAACGCTGTCTCTTTTTGATGATCTCTTTAACCCCAAGGTTCTCTCAGCAATCTTATTCTGGGGCTTGGCATGAAAAGGTGTTGAAAACTTAAGAACTGCACCTAGTTCTGGGATAACACAGAGAAATGGACATCATTAAAAAATCACAAAGCCAATTTGATTGGAAAAACAACCCTCATTTTTTCATGTCTGTCTACTTTCATATGCCTGCCCAGACACATAAGAAAAAGGAAAGCCCTTAAAAAGGACAGAGGAGTTTAGTAAACAAAACTTAATCCACTTTTTCCCCAAGAGGTGGGGGCATCTCCAGGAAATAGTAGCACACAGTACCACAGACAGCTCATAACCTGGTAGTTATCAATGTCTAGCAAAAGCAAAGAGATAGACACGAGCCGGAGCTTTCTCATTATCACCACCACAGCCACTTTCCACCCCTACAATTTGTTCCACGCAAGATGACATGTTTTCTTGCATTTCACGCACCCTTGTTTTACTCATACCAAGTGCTGGGAGTCATTTACTCAGCCATTCTTTTGTCAGCCACGAGCTAGTTACCAGATAAGCAATCTGAGCAACTTCTTCAGATTCAGTCACTGTATTGCTCCTTAACTCTGATTCTCAGAGCTATCAGTTGCTGAGCATATTTAATTATTAACAGGACTGAGTAAGCTACTGAAGCTGTCACAGTCATCAACCCCAGTTTACGAGCTTAAAAAGGAGAGAAATCTGCAGAGAAAACCCCTTCCACATGGAGAGGACTTCACCTTTTTCTGTCAAGGAAATCTCTCTCTCCCCAAATAAAACAATAAATATCCCCCAAATAAAACAATAAATATCACCCTCTCAGCCCAGTACCTACCCTGGTCTTTCCAAGCTATTGGTGGAGACAGCAGGAAATACCAACAGGTCTCATTTTACACCTTTACTCTCAGCTACAATGTGCATAACTCATTCCCCTAACTCAACAGTCCATGCTTAATTTCAAATTTCAGCTAGCTGCAAGTTCTGTTATGCGTAAGACCTGCTGTCTTTCCTCAACTTGATGTGCTTCTTTCTGCAAGCAGTTCAGAGGTGCCCTTCCCTAAAAGAAACCGTATCAAAACAAGAGTAAACTGCATACCACAGAGCTGGGTATAGTCCTCCTGCTTTGAGTATGTTAAAAAGATGGCCAGTGCCTCCTTCCAGCTCTGTAGATCACATGTGCGAACAATATCTTGCCAGTTCTGTTGCACAATGGAGGAAAGAAGCTGTAAGGGAAGAAGGAGGCCTGTTAGTCACTGAAGACTAAGAGATGCTGACTGCTTGAGCAAGTACATCCATACTGACAGCTCACTTTTGGGCACACTTCACCATATGCAGCAACTACCTCTCTGCACACTGAGGTCCACCAATCCCCACATCCCAACATCAACAGCTGGTAACCTGATGCCTGGAAAGAAGGTTAAAAAAAAACCAAACCACCAAAGCACGTGAGAGATATGAAAATGGCCACATTAGGCCAGACCAAAGATCTATCTAACACACATTCTGTTTCACAGCAGTTGGTATCAATGATCAGGAATATTGGGTTAGGACAGACCGACCCCTGTAACACTCTCCAACTGAGAATTAATAAGCTAGGACTTTTCTAGCTGATAGCCCTAAATAGATAGCATTTTCCACAGGTTTTACAGGCATGGGGAGCTGAGGCAGAAACCATTAGATGAAAAGAAAGGAATAGAGAACATGAAATTCCAGATGGGTAGCGTGAAATTGTCATACAACAAACAGAATAAATGTCTAGTCAAAAAGAGACTCTCAGTCTCTGGTGACATTTTGCTTCCCCCTCAAAGCATTTCCACACATTCAGACAAACATCTGCCGGGATATCACACACCTTCCACTGTTCAGTGGGTACACCAGCTCATCACTTACCAGGGAAATTTTTGTTTTCCGCTTGGCAAAGTAGCGCTTCTGGGTCTCTCTTAGGAGGTTCTCCCCACCAGCAATAGCTAAGATGATGGCGTCGGCAAATCGTTCTGCCCGCATACACACTTCCACTGCACCCTCAAAATTCCCCAGCAAAAGGGCCTGGCTGATGAGTCCGTCAGTATCTGTGGAGGTGAGAAAGCAGATCTAAGCCATAGGGGAACCATCTACATACATTAATCATGCTCATTTTAAAGACAAGCAGTAAAAAACAATAACCTATGGAAGTCCAGCTAAAGGAAGATTTGGAAATACAGATCAGGTTTTCTATCTCCAAAGAAATCACTGACTTGAAAGAAGTCTTCCATCACCTAGAAGATTCTCCCATACTTTTCATGGGTCTCTTATCTGTGAGGAGTATTCCTTTGCAAAATGCTAACAGATGTTGCAAGACATTGCGATGAGTCATGAGTTTTAGAAGTATTCATATGGTGCTGGAGCGGACCAGGTTTTTCCTGGTCTCTGCCACTTTCAGGCTTCCCCTCCCCTTTTCTTAAAAGAGGGCAGAAGCACACTTCATGTAACACACCTGCTGTGACAGGAATCTCCAAAGTGCTCATATCCTGTGGGATGAGGTTGTCAAAAAAGGCTGAAGAGGAGGAAACAGCAGCTACATCATCACTGGAATTTATCAAAAGCTGTGCAAAGAGTGCAAGAAGTTAATTCATTGAACACATGGGTCCCTGCCCGAAATAGTTTAACGGGTTACAGAATGGGATGTGTATTCCCCATTTGGTTGGGGATGCTCATATAAATCAGATTTCAGCTTAGAAACCATTCATGTCTCCTGTCACTGCTCTATCAACCTGTACAGCTTCAGTGAGGCAGCAGTAAGAACAGTGCTGCTATTGACCTAGCTTAGGAGGTTGCTGGTGTAAAACATGCAATGACAACAGTATTGATAGCCAGCGTTCATCCATTCAACTGCCAGCCCTTGAGCAAGCCAAACAATTTTGGCTAGAATAGGATTAACAGCTAGGATCGCAGCCATGCTAGGTGCTCGATAAAAATGCAAGACAAAACTGCTACCTCTAGAATATCTCAGCAAGTGTTTAAGGTTTGTGAAAGAGATTGCTAATTTAAGTGGAGCAGCTTTAGATACCTTAGAGAAGCAAAATTTATGGTGGATGATGAACTGGGCCCTGGAAGGCACCTGAAGATGGACATCCCAAAATCATGTGAAAAAACATTTCAAAGGACAGAGGTGAAAAGGAAAGAAAGGCAAAAAAAATACCACAGCAGAAGCTTCACAGAGGAAATCCAGAACTGTAGGATGAAGTTAAGTTGGGGTGAGGCTAATTCTATCACTGGAGAAATCAGCACTGGTGAAGCAAGCCTTCTCGCAGCGTTAACAGCCAGAAGTCCATCTTCATCTTTCGCTGATTTGTTTTAAAGCCAGAAGGGACCGCTATATCATTTAGTCTGACCCTGTGAGGGTCTAACAGGCCTGTGAACTGCCCTCTGCGATTCCTGCATTGAGCCCAACAACCTGCGGTTGGAATTAAACCTTCCCATTCATTCTGCCCTCCGCTGTTTTCCCAGACTGGCAATATGTACAGGACATACCTGACCTGGTTGCACAGCATTCATCTCATCTGCCTCAGGAAGGGGCTGTTTATCTGGGATCCCATTACTCAAACATGAGGAGATCTACAAAGGAACAGACATTCACAGGGTGAAGCCTCTGTTAACACTAAACACATGGGCAGCAAAGAAGCCAACTGACCAGCAAGTCACAGACAATTCTCCCATCTCTTTCACCTGTTTGAAAAGTTCCACTTCTCCCTATTCCCGTCTAGCTATCTAGCAGAGGTTATTTGTCCCTTTCATAGGGACACAGACCATACTGCTGCAGGAGTCTCCTTCCCTGCAGCTCCATCAGTGCTATGCCAGACTGTCTTCATCTATCACTTTCTTCCTCACTGAGGAACTCCTTGACACACAGAGCGCTGGAAGCTAGATGAATGCTCTCAACTGCTATGTTGTTACACACTTCTCTGAGCATCAGCAACTGAAGACAAGATATTGGACTCAAGGGCCCTTTGGTCTGATCCTGCACAGCTATGGTTATATTCTTATGGGTGCCAACATTTGCTTTTTAATAGGAACTCAGGAGATCCAGGCCCAGCACAATCACAAGAAAGGATCTGAACAGTCTTTTCAGACTTCCTCTTCCTACATCGCCCTCTCAAAGCAGATCTCTGAGATAAGCAGTTAATCTTTCAGCTCTGGGGAGAAGGCCTCAGATCTTAGCAGAGGTTTCACAATCACACCCATCACGTCTAGGTCAGCTTTACCATTTAAGACCTAGAAAGACAATTTCGGAGTGGGCTGCAAGACAGAGAGGTGTTTACTGTAGAGCTCCAGGTCAGGAGGGGAGAGAAATGAATCCAGACTGATCCAGCACCCCATCTGTACTCCCAAAAGAAACTACAGAATGATCTCCGCTTATGCTCCCTGACCATCGCACTAGGTTTCAGTTTGGGGGACGAGGTACTCCTCACCTGAAATTTCATACAGTTTAGCATGTCTCATGTGATGTGAGATCACTCGCTCGTCTCCAGTAGGGACCCTGAAACTCCCCTTCAGTGGCCTTAGCCCTGTAAAGATGTCTCTCTATTGTACAGACCCCTTACCTTTTTTTGCAGATCATCTTTACTGTAGCCTAGCAGCTTGAGGAGTTTAGTCCTGGACTCCTGCTCCAGATTCACCTGGGTCCCAAAGGAAATTGAAAAAGACAAGAAAATCTGTAAAATCCTAGACATCTACATGCTGCCAACAGTTAGCTACTTCTAGAGCTAGAAAGTTTAGAGCTCAGACAATGGACTCAGCTATGAGAAGTCCACCTGGTGACTACTGTGGCAAAGCCTATGGAACTGAAGTTAAAATTGTCATATAAAGGTGAAATTTGAGTTTGTCACATAGTTATAATTGTGGTTTGGCTGGGCATCAGAGCTATGCCTACATGCAAATCTAGCACACTTGGTCATTGATTCCATGGACAGTCCAAGAATTCCCCAGCTAATCTCTGTATAAAGACAATGCACTGACAATGCAACGGACCAGCATGAGACAGGGTGGTTGTCTAAACTCTTAGCTGGCTTCACAACAAAGTATTTAACTAATTATTACAGAAACTCTCCAGGTGGGAATCTCTGGAAATGTCTGAAATTCTCACAGACTCTACACTGCTAAATTGACAGGAACTATTTTTATGCTTCATTGTATGATTAACCTCCTAGGAGGAAAATATGGCTGTCCCAGCAACTCTCCCATGCAGTATCTACTGTAGAATTGACCAAATCGTATACAGATGAGAAACTTGTAAATAGTCAGGAGAAACCGTTTCTGCAGGTATAGAAATGATCGTGCAGGGCAGCCTTTTGTACACAGTTAAGATGCTTGGTTTGTAGTTCAAGACAATCAGTAGCAATGGATCTTGCATACCCTGACTGGTCTTACAGAACCACGGGCCAGCCAGATTACACAAATTCATTAGAACAAACAGTTTGAAGTGTCTCATCTGATGCAGCTGAACACATTGTTGTAATGACTCTTGTAATGGAGACTTCTGTCACCACCTGGACATCCTGTTCAAGAGACTCAATTCCACATGCAAGCATTACCCTATACAAAAGATCCCAATTTTTTCCCCTCCTACGAACATAACTCCATGACTGTCTGTGCAAGGTTACCAAGGCTAAGATTCCACTAGCCCTGCCTCTCCAGGAGGGTGGTCACTCCTCGCTACTGAACTCTCATAAATACCAAATCGTCAATAGAATCAACCACCTATGTAGGGCTGTAAGGCAATTCTCATGCTGTCACAGCTCTCTTCCTCATTATGGGGTAGTCTCACTGCCCATTTGGACTTCACCTTGAGAAATAATAGGGTAGAGCTCCACAGGTAGCAGATACAGTTTGGCTGTAGGTTGAGATGAGAAAATTCTGTTTAGTTCATTGACAGGAAGCCCAAACCAGTCCAGCAAAAAGACCGTTCCAACTGAAAAAATAAGGCAGCCTCCAAGATCTCAACTGCTAAAACTTTTATTTAGATAAATAATTAATTAGTCTATCTAGTTCAGTTTAAAATCTTAAAGAACAGGAATACGTATATAGCTACAAAGGAGCATAATTAGCACTTTCCACCCCAGGAGTGCAAAAGAAATGACATCTGGGTTTCACCACGGCCATCCTACCTTCAGGAAGTTCCAGAGGTTCTCATCGAACTGCAACTTTGCTGTCTGGATCTTGCCCTTGCAGTACTCAAGGAGGTTGCCTGACTGCAGGGCCATCTGTAGTTCTCTGGATCGGACCAGGAACTCTGTTTCAGTAGTGACTTGACTGATGAACACCTGGCGTGGGCAAGTCTGCTGCACTTGCTGTCCAGGAACTTTGGTAAGACCAAAGGTAATCAGTTTTCCCCCAAACTGAGAAAGACAAAGGGAGACACAGTAAGCATTCTTGTAAGTGAAGGTAGAAGCAACTCACTCAGCTTTTCATTTGGCAGAGTTGACTCTAGTTCCAGTCGTGATCACAAAGAACACAAACGGTTGCATGTGTACAGATGTTAGTGACGCTGAAGGAGTTCACATCACAAGCCCTTCAGCTGAAGGAGTAGCAGTCCTCACTGACCACCAAGACACTTGTGTATGTGCTGTCAGGTATAGCCAATTGCAAATGCCAGAGAGGTACAGGGGAAAAACTACTGTTTGGAACTGTTCTTTTCTGAAACAGACAGGTAGGCTGCACTGATTTAAAACCATAATGTGAATGGCAGGCACTAGACAGACAGAGGAAAGGGGTTGAAAATGAAATACATGATGGATAGGAAGGAGAAAGACAGAGAAGGAGAATGGGAATGCATGTCACAGCTTACAGGGAAACGATTTATGAGCTTTCCTTAGCTCCATTAACTCCTACTTATGCTCTGTTATGCTCACATGCTCTGTTATAGGACTCTCTTCTTTCTTGTTGGAAATGTATCCGAACATAGAGCAAGAGAGCTTCTTTGCACAGGATACCACACTGCACCTTACACAGGCATTAAAAAGAGCTAGTACCAGGAAGATAAAAAGCTTTCTCTACCAAGAGAAATGGATTGCATCACGACTAGAAGAATCTACTGCGTTTTCAGCTAAGGATGCTCCATTTACTTACTGCAAACGAAACCCCTACAGGCCTGCGAATCCACTTGGGTGGCTTTTTTAATGGTGGAATCAAGGTGGTCTGAGCTACTTGCTCCGGCACTTGCAGAGGAGGGAGGGTCCGTCCTGTGCCAAAGGGATCAAGGTTGTTGAAGGAGGAGGAGATCTAGGATCAAATGGAGAGGAGGGTGAGATATAATTCATTTCCTCGCTATAGGCTATAAGTACATTCAACTGTTGCTTAGTAGTTAGTTACTCTTCTTGCTGATGAAGAACGAGACTATTACTCCTCTTTCTGGAGCGCTACCAAATCCCTATGTGAGAGGAACAGTATTTCCAAACAGTTCTCGAAATTATTTCTTAAGCAAGGTTCACCTTGAGAGATTTTAAAGTAAGTTTTCCTTAGCAAGATGAAGACTGCCTAACAAACACTGATTGGCTTAGCATCCAGCTCATAAACACAGGGGTTACACAATTACTTGTTTTATGCAACACAGTGATTACATATGATCAAAAGTTGCCCAGCTTATTTCTTGTTTTGCTCATAAAGGAATGCTGACTGCCTTTCTGTTGCTGGAATCTTTTGAATGAGTTGGTTTTAACGACTGTCTCAGCTTTTATAGGACTTCAGATGAGGCTGGCGAAATAATCTCTTGAGACTTTCTTGCCTAGACAAGAGTGTCAGAAGCGGCCCCTGATCTTGATTTCTGACATTTAGGAAGTCAGTGAGTATATATAGTCAATGCTGCTTGCAAGTGTTCACAATTTTTAATATTGCGGGCATAGATTTGATGTTTGTGAAGGAGAACCCTGTTCAAGCTTGACTAGCTCATAGGGCATAGCTGCAAAGAATGGCTGACTGGCACACCTGAAAGGAAACAGCTCAAGTTTGAGCAAGGTAACGCTGCCAAACAAAGAATCACAGGCAAGTCCTAGACGCTTTGTCCTTCAAGTCACTGAGTCACTTGAGCAGAAATTAATTCTGAAACAGATCACTTCCTCGAGGAACAGCTTGTACTTAACAGATCACTCACCCTAAACCTTAAAAAAAAAAATAAATACACACCATGGAGGTACCAAGAACATCAGAATGGAGATCTTCAACAAAAGATCTGTCCTGATACCATGAAATCCAGAGGACAGAGAGCTTAAGAGGTCATCTCCCCTGTCTCTGTAACTATTGCTGTAGTCTTCTAATTTTGTACTTATTTTTTATTCTATTCATCTAGGAATTGTTCTACCCACATTTCAAAATTGGAGAATAGTAGGAAGTATGGTCACATGTACATGAAGAACGCACATGAAATTCTCCAAGAGTTCTATAAATCCTTAGTCTGCTACGGCTGTTGCTTCATAAAATATTTTCTGTCTCTTTCCTATGAAACCAAACTCGGTCAGCTGTAAGTTACTATATAGATAACACAAACATGCTTATATGTTTTCTCCTCAAATCTGTATTGTAATACATTTGTTGGCTAGGAGAGAGGGAAGGAATTAAAAGGCTAGACATTAGATTAAAAGTAAAATTTTAGATAGCACTGACATTCAATTTGTTCAGAGTTCGGCCATCTATTCATCAGCTAAATAACGGGTTTCAGTTTCAAAATATTATCCTGCTCCAAGTTATAGTCAACTGACTTGGGGTAAGTTATTAACTGTGGTTTATAAGCTACTTTTTAAGATCCTCTTCTGAGCTAATAAAGGAAAATGCACTGTATTACTTGGTACTGATTTATTTAATTTCAACTTAATGGCAAGAAAAGCTTGCTGCTCTAACAGCTGTGCTGCTTTAGTTTCATTCTAGCAGCATTAACCATAGACTACATGCCTCATCAAAGCTACACTTGATTTTGGTTTTGTTTATGCACTTTAACAACTTTTACAAGAGATACTGAGAAACCTCTTTATCAAGAGGCAATATAAGCCTACAACCCTTCTGGACTTGTGTGGATATTAAGTCCTCACCCAGGTAGCTTCCGGTTCTCCACACATCAGTGGTGCATCCTCGTGGGTGAGATGACTGCTTTACTTAAAACCACACTGTTACATGGTGTGCTTCTCACACTCTCAGAAGCCAGACAAAAAGCTGCCAATGCCTCGAGCCCTAGCATGTCCACAGGACTTTACCTTGTCAGCCTGAGTCTTCTGCTGAGCTTCTAAACTCCCGCCCATAACAGAATAAATGTTGATCCACCCATCAAATGTGGCAGCAGAGAAGACCGTAGGGTTCCTAGGGCACCACTGGACATCAAAGCACCACTGACTCCGAATGGGCAACTCGTAAACCACCTATCGCAGAAAGAGAGAAGGCAAAAGCGCATGACACAAGAATAGTCCCCCGCTCTCCCCAAATTACTTGTCTACAGCAAGTGTGTCATACCCGATTTATACCTCACCAAGTATAGAGGTTTCTTATTTTTACTTCTTGAAGGATATATTTGCAACGTTAGAGTTGCAACGCACTAAGCCCAAACAGTGGAAAGCCATGAAAAGCTGCTAAATAATATTGTGATTGTAGACTGAAATAGCAAGCAACAAGTCAGTTTTGCTCTGTCTTCTAAGTACTACTGTATCAGAGTGCTACAGTATTGTGGCACCTGCTGTTAACACAGAGAGACAAACCAAAAAAAACAATGGCCAGAAAAACATAAGCCAATAGGCAAAAAGGTGTGAGGAGTAAGAACGTGTAAACTAAAAGGATTGTCTGGAATAACAAACTTAATGGGGAAAATGAAAGGCTACAGAAAAAAAAAAAAAAGTAGAACAGCAAAAGACGACTGTAAAACCTACAAACCACAAAGGATATTTTAGCCAACAGGTTTCTAGTCCAGCATTCAAAAATCCAAAGTTCAATTCATGGACCAGTCACAGACTTCCTGCATGCTGTTAGGCAACTCACTAAAATAACCTTGACTTTAAACCTCCAGTCTGTAAAATGGAGTTTTCCTCTGTGCCTCACAGGCAAGCAGTTTTCCAAGACACAGAATCCTAACTTTCTTTTCACGTTTTTGTGCCTAGCAATATGATCTGTGTTCTCTGCTCCCAAGTATACAATTTTGCATTTGCTCATATTAAGACATAGATTGCTTAAACAAAAACAAACAAAAAACAAAACCCCCCCCCACAAAATCACAACAAAAACAAAACAAACATTAAAAAACAGCTTACCAGATCAGTCATTCTGTATAATTTCCCTGTCCTTACCGTTCAGAACTCTCCCACTTTTTGTACCACCTGAAAGTGTTCTAATCACTGCTAAAGATTGGCACTAAGTCAAGAACAGACCCCTAACAATAACCTCTGCATAAATGTCTCACTTAACTTCGGACCCTGCAAATCTACAGCAGCATGCATATAAAGACAAGCCAGTTCCACTAAAATTGGCTTTTAAGTTCTTCTCCTAAAACACAGTGAAAAGACTTTAGTAACAAATAGACACCAGGAATCTTTCAGGGTCAGATTTTCTTCCAGCTACTGGACACCTGCACAGAGTGAACATCAAATCCCACAAAACCACAAGAGCAGCATTTCATACCTCTTTCAAAAAATGGCTTAACTTTTTTCCTTTGCCTCCAAGGCAAAGGTGGGACAGTTTCACTGAGCTTGACCATGAGATGAATCTGGCATGCGGCTCCCAGCTGGACTTTGTTGGTATTGTTAGATTACTTTTCCCAGGCTATCATCAAGATCAACTGAGTGAATTTTCTTCCAAGTTCAAAATTCAGTTTTATCCAGAAACTTAGCATTGAATAAGTAGGTGTGCAGAGAAATTGTTGCACAGCCCTATTTTAAATGTTTAAAATTGTTGTGATGCTAAATATTTCGAATATGGTATTTTTGAGACACACGACCAGAAAAACACACACATGTGAGAAGCCACTGTACTATGGAGAAAGTTTATATACATCTTTAGTTACACGGTTCTGCTCTCAATGCCCCTAACAAATGCTCCTCATTCTCCTTGAAGTTTCCCCCCCCAGCTTTTGAATACGCTAGGAGAAGGAGGAAGAAGAAACAAATGGACACAGGGACCACTACATACGTGAACAAAATAAGAGTAATCAAAATTAGCTGAAACTAAGTTTTAGTTAGTTTTCTTCCTTCTATGACCTCTGTATACAAATAGAGAAAATATCTGCAAGTCTCTGTTGTTTTCAGTTTGGATAGGGACAACAACCTCTTTCTCTTCAGACAGGGAGTGTAGAAGACATATTGGAGGAAACGACATTGGCACTCCACAGGGGGATACACATGCATAGCATGGCACACAGCTCTGCATAAAAGAGAGAAGGTGTACTTCTAGCTGTGGTTATGTACCTCCCCCATACTTGGATTCCAGCACAAGATCCGGTTGTCTTTGGCGCTACTCAACAGCAGTTCAGGGTCAGCCTGGCACCAAGAGATAGACAGAACTCCTCTAAAACAGAGCAGAAAGAAAATACAGTCATATTTCATACTCAACCCACTTTCCTGTCCTGTCAACAAGCAAGCAGAATATATTTGCACTTAAGCTCAAAAATGCTAGTTCTCCTCTCTGCCTGAACCAGACCAATCAGTGAAACAAAGCAGCCTGTAAAAACATCATAGCTTGCCAAAGCACAGTCTCCCAGCTGCCTTCCTTTTAAAGGCAGAGATCCTTGAAAAGGCAACATGACAAGCAGACCCTTACCTCGTGTGCCCTTCGAGTTGGCTCAAAGGAGAGGTAGCAAAACGCAAGTCCCATATTTGGATCACTGGCAAGCGGTCATCCTCAGAGGAAAGGACTAGTTGGGTTGCAACTTCTGGGTGCCAGGCCATTCCAGAGCAATGCATCTAGAGACAAAAATAGCATGGGCTGAAAATTCAGCAAGGCAAGCTGGCAACAGAGCAAATGGCCCAGAGCCACATCATTCTGCACCTAACTCTCCTAGAACGTTGGACATAAAGCAAATCCAGCAATGCCTTGCTGTGAGAAGTATTTCTACCTTCTCTACACAGCAAAAAAACAAACAAACAAACAAAAAAAACACCCCACTAACCCTATAGAAACTGAAGGACTAGTTCTAGGTTTATCTAGGAAGAGAGCTGTGATTGAAACCTTTTGTTATTTTTGCACTCTTATGAGCCAGAGGACTTGAACCCTACCCCTGCACAGGTAGGGAGCCTTCCCATCTGCTTTCGCTATAGAAAGATTTCCTCACATGCCCATTATGAACTACAGCTCTCCTGCTGCAAGGGCATATGAACATCTGCCACGCAAAACCTTAGGTCGTCCTTCTTCAAAGGATGATTTGTATCAACAATTGGATCTTTCTCAAGATCCAACAACTTGTAATATGTCACAAACTAACAACTTGCTGCATTTATTTCTGGTCTTCCATGCTTTAAAATGAGCCAAATGCCAGCTTGGAGTGACAGCTACAGCATGGCAACAGTGTCAATTATGTATACGCTTGGCTAGCTCATGCTCTGACCCAGGACGAGAACTCCAAAAAGCATGCTAATATCCTGTTTCTGCTGTCTACTTGCTCCTTGACTTCTCACCTTCCATTGCAAACAGGGATTCCAAATACTGCTGCAGCAGCACAGAATTGCTAAAACTTAAGGATGCTCTGGACAGATCCACTCCCACCCCCCACCTACAGCCTTCTTATAAGAGCCTTCCAGTTCCAAGAGGTCCAACCCCAACAGCTCCCACTATAAAAACATTTCATCCCTAGAGCCTGTGCCACTGCTTTGCAATTACTAAGGTGGCATGTTGTAGGCCCGTTGGAATCACAGTCTTTCCTCCACTCACTCTGTTGCTGTGGTCACTGACTTTGATGATAGGCTCATTCTTCCTGAGGTCCCAAACCACAGCCTTGCCACTGGGGTGAGCAGAGGACAGGATATGTTGCACCTGCCGATTCCAGGACACCACACTGATGTCTTCGTGAGGCTGCCAAGATAGGGAAGGCCACAGATCCATTACCCCCCATGCTAAGGGGACATCAAATTGCAGGATTCTGTCACCAGCTTGAGAGATTTGAGGACCTACAGATTCCTCTCTTCAACCTCTGATCAATCTACTGGAAATATCAGTAGCACTGACAGGAAACACTAGGGAGCATGGGAAATCCTTTACACAGAAAGTGCAGTGGACAGTCTAATCGTCTAGGGGAATGTTACCTGGAAAAGCTCCTTTGCATCTTGGGAACAGGTATTAGATTCTACATCCAAGTCTGCTTTAGCCAAATGCGTCTTAAACTGTTAATTCCACAGTAAAGCAACAGATGCACATAGAACTAAACAATTAACAGCCTGCAATATACTGACATCAGGCTGCATACCAGAGGGAACATAGATGTTTCTACCCTGACTCTCCCAAGAGAACTCAAATGGAAAGATGACCTTGTGCAACGTTTCAAGGTCAGTGCAGTGAGATGGAAAATGAAGCATTCAAGGCTAATTCCTGTTATTGTATCTACAGCAATGAAGGAGATGCACAAGGAGACAAATGAGAGACTTACTGCAGGAAAGAGTAAGCTTGCTTAAAAGCAGGCCAAGTATGATCTTTCCACTTTCAGGAATTGATTGCCCTGATAACATAATCAGGATCAGAAGATCAGAAGCTTCCCCTCCAAGCTCAGGGAACATTTTCTGGAAATAATAGCCAAGATGCATTAAATGGCTGTGGCTCACTGACTGTGTTGGGGATATTACTATCATGAGATATGAAAAGCTTCAGCTGAAGCAGATTCATACCTCAGAGAAGGTCCAATAAGCCTTCTTAATCCATCACACAGGCCCCAGCTGAATCACAAGACAAACTGGTCAGTTACTGGATTCAAATCCGCAAAGCGCTTACCCATCCATGCAATATGCATCCTTCCAGAGCTTGCCTGCCTACCTCCCTTCCCTTTATACCACTCTTTCTTTTTTTAGTCAATTCTGGTTCATCTTCCTCCTGAGAGGGGTCAAAGTGATTTCCCCTTCAGAGAGCGAATACAGCAGGAGCACTCTATACCTTCAGATCATTTCATCTTGCTTACTGAGATATAAAACTGCGGGGGTCTTGCCCAGAGGAAAATTCCTTTACCTGCGATTTAGCCCCTGGTGTCATAGGCACACTGAAGTTATTCAAGTCCCAGATGAAAATTTCAGAATCATTGGATCCAGAGGCCAAGAGGTTACTCTGTACGGAAAGTAAAAGCTCAGCTGAGTTTCCTGCTCAAAAGGAAAGAGGGCGGACTTCTTAAAAAGAAGTGTAATATCGAAAAAAACCCAAAGCTGCCAAAGTCAGGTGACAGCTGCATTTCACAACCATCGGCAAGCAGAAAGATATTCACCAGATTATAAACCAAGCCCATTTCTGGTCTCCTTGCCTTCAGCTGTGCCATGGTGGAGACCTGTTTTTTTTTTTTTATTTTTTGTCTGGCAAGCTACATATGCAGGTGGCTAGTGTGATTCATCATGAAACTTTGCCACAGGAGTGGAAGTCACTCGCTCCGGCCAGCTAAGCTTTTGCACTGCATCCTGGCACCAGGGACTTTCCTTCTGGAAAGATGAAGGTGTCCCACAATGGGCTGCAGCCAGCTCTCAATTTGTCTTTCTGCTGCCTATGAGAACTTGGGCTCTGTTGACTAATCACTTATATGGCAGTCTCTTCAAGTGCAATCAGAACCCCACTAAATTAGACACCAATTGAACAAATAACCAAGTTCTGATTTCAAATGGGTAATAGGGTAACATGTAACAGCATTACAAGACATTTTTTGCAGGGATATTAATGACATAATCAAGATCACTGGGGAATTCAGTGACAAAGCCAAGAATAGAACTCAAATCTGAGTCCCATATCAGTCCTGTATCACAACTACCTTGCCTCTTCTGTGTTAAATCTGTACCTTCAGTTTATAAATCCGCATAAACATGGGAAAAACTCATGGTGGCTAACCTTCACTCAGTTGTAAGTATCTTAAGGCTGCATACCTGGAACGGGTTGAAATCAAGAGCTCGAACAGGGCCTGAATGCTTCTCTGTCTGACCAATTACAGCCTCACTCTTTGAAGCCAAGATCTGGTGTGCACTATACATTGTCAGTACGCCATTATCCCCTCCACCAATGACCACTCCAGAGGACTCAGGGGACCCATTTCCAAAGTTACCCCAGATCAGCTTATGAAACCTGAAGAAGGAGAAAATAAAGCTGGCATAAGCCACAATATTCAGTGGGAGCCAAGACACCCTGCATTACCAAGAATCACATCCATAGTCCAACCTATCAAATACACATATCAGTCTGTACCTTAAATAACTAGAACCTACAATGGAAGATTTTTTTAAGGAGTTTTTTAAAAAAAGAAAAAAAAAAGGAGTTTAGGACTTCATGTGGGATTTTGGGTGAAATCCTCTAAACTACACTGTACAGAAAGTTAGATTAGAGGACCATACTCCTTCCTTTCCAGGCTTCAAATCTGAAAAATATGTTGTTTCACTGTAAAAGCTGCTAGTTACAAATCAAGGGAAATTGTATTTTGCACTAGGTACATATGTGACTGACAAGTGTAATAAATCACCTCCTCCTAAAAAGCTGGAAGATAGGTTTCATTCTACTGCTGTTTTTTTTTTACTTCAAACCAAAAGCCCCAGCTAATTCACATGATACAGAATGACCACCATAGAAGTCCTCTTAGAATTCTCCAGTGATCCAATTGCTGTATCTTTGCAAACACATTAAACACTCAGCATGATTTGTCTCAAGCCAAGAATACCCAGCACCTTAAAGACAAGGTAAGCCAACTCCAAAAGATCACTTTATACCCAGAAAATATGATTTCACTCTCTCACCTTTCCTGTACTAGAAAAGCCATTTTCAGTTCCACCAACTGATATGTCAGTATAAGTCTCTAATACCTGTTTGAGGCAGGAAGGGTTCCTTTCTGCTTCATGTCCAGGGAGGGATCCCTGAAGTCAATCTCAAATATTTCCAAGGTGGCATTTGTACTGAAGGATGCATCCAGTTGCTGGGCAGATGTTCCTAGCAGAAGTAGAAGGGGGACACTTAAAAATGGGCACTTTTTTCATGAGCACGAGACACGAAAAGAGCAAGGCTTTAGCACTGCAACCAACCCTTGACCAATGAACCAATCCTTGACTGACAGTCAACATACCTTTGGTGCTGTGCGTGCAGGAGAGGATATGTCTGAATATCTCAGACAGAGCAGCCAGAAGTCAAGACAGACTTTTAAAGAAATCAGAACTTCTTCAAGAAATTCCAGGCATCAAGGTCACTGATGCAAAAATATCTTTTCTCTTTGGGGAGATAAAATTCATATACCCTCTTCCAAACAGCCACAGCCTCTGACAGTAGGTCCTTACCAAATTACAAAGGCAGTTGCATCATGAAATCCAGGTACAATTATGATCCCAAATACTTCTTTATGCTGCTCCCCAATCATGATCAGAAAGTCTTGCTCAGATTTTCTAAGTCTGGTCTACAGCAAAAGTTCATCAACTTTAGGCGTCTAAACATTCCTTGACAACACACAGAGAGGTAGCGGTCACACACAGTGATGGCTTCCTTACTTCTCCCTCGTTTACAGAACTAAAATAGATTTAAGATTGCCTAACGGGACATTGCCATGCAAAGAGTCACCCGGTTACCAAAGGGATGCTTCGTAACTGCTTATGGGAGGGGAAGTGCCCAAGGGACCGTAAAAAAGCAGTACAAATTATGAAACTACGCAGCTTCTAATCTAAAGCGGACTGAAGCCAAGGCCTTTAGTCTAACGAAAACTCTGGCCTTATTAGAAAAACACAAAATAGACCATCTACCCCAAAAGTAGTTATGTTGCTTTTAAGGCAGTAGTTGAACTTTAGTCACATTCTCCTGACAGTCAGCCCTATAAAAAAGCAAAAACAATATGGCAGGCCTGCACAACCCAGACAGGAGACCGAGCTGGCTCATTCTCATGTTGGGTAGACGATTCAGGCCATCAGTTCCACAGAGACACTAAACTCACCTACTGCCAACTTAGTGAACATGCTGACTTTGAGCTTCAGGAAATAAAAGGTTTATACTGATAAAGAATAATGAATAATATCAACAAAATGCAAATTTGAGGGTTTGCAGAAGTATTAAAAGCTGAAGGTAAGCAGAAACAGGCAACTTTAGGAAAAAGATTTCTATTCTTGGACTGTCAAGCCACATGGTAGTGTCTGAAATCCAGCAAAGTGAAAGCAATCTTAAATGGATCAGATTAGAATGAACTTTGCTCCACAGACATACCAAATAAGTAACCCTAATTTGATTTATTTTTTTATAACGAGCAGGTGTTAAGAGTTCAGATATTTGAAGTGAACAGTCTTAATTAGAAGCTAGATCTGAAAAGTCATGTATTCACTCTTTGAAAAAAATCACTGTCCTTTAAGGAGTCAAAGACTGGTATAAAAATAAACCCCTTAGGTCAGCAGACAAAAAAAAATATCAAAGCTATAATATTTTCAGTATGTTGCTTCTAATTTTTCCAGCATCTATTAAAGTGGGAATTGTTGAAAGATAAGGCTGGTACAACTCCACACAAACTCTCTCTGTGACTCATACTTCAATTCTCTTAAATAAGGAAGAACTTTACCTGTTGCTAGATAAATGGGGTGGTTGTTTGCTGGACTCCATGCCTGAACAGCTGTTCGCTCAATTTCCTTTAGCTTCATTTTCTAGGCTCTAGAAAAAAATTTCACATAGTGGTTAGAAAAGCCTGACAAAGTTAACATGAAAATAACCATCCCAGGAACAAAATATCCCGATTAGGATTACACTGTGAAAACAAACGGCTCTCAAGAGAGAAAACTTATTTGCTGCTTCCTGAGCTAGTGAATATAGTTTTACTAGAATGAATTAGGATATTTTAAAATTCATACCAAAAAAAAAAAAAAAATCCCAGCTGTCTGATCCCAGATTTTCTTTCACACACAGCTCTCTTTTTCCTATATCCCAATTATAGGAGAGTTTTAGTACAAGGAGGAGAATTTAAATCAAACAACATACTCTAGTCTTCAGTTCAGGCTGGCTTAAATCAGCTGCAGAAATTCATTTAAACAAATGTCTTTGCAGAGCTCTAGTTGCTCTCTCTGCATAAGCTGATGTCAGGATATACCCAGGCAGAGGAGAAGCAGAAAGAATCTCAGCACAGGCTAAATTCCAAGTGCAAAGCAAAGCAACGTGGCAACAGAAAACAAAGTGCAATACTGTCAAGTGCCAATTCAGTTACTGTACTTTGTTCTCACTCCTCTCAAAAAGCCCAAAGAAAAAAAATCATTTGACTTTCTTCTTCAGTTTGTAAATGGTAGGAGAAGGTGAGGGGAAGCGATCCAGAAGAAACTGTTGAGTTTCAATCTCAGCTCTGACAATTCTTCGTATGGACTCTGGATAGATCATCTGGCCCCTATAAAATGGCAACAAACTTCCCCATGTCACTGGGAGGGATTAATTAGGCAATAACGTAGCTGGATAATTAAAAGTCAAACTTGAACAGTAGGCAGCCAGGAGGCTGCAACACTTAATATAAAACCACACTCAAATTGTTACTCCATGTTAAGATCCCATTCTTGCTGAAGATTAAGCACCCAACACCACTGGATCCCATGCTACGCCCAGGCCCTCTAGGCATATCAGGAACATAAATAATATGTAATAACAATGACATTCAAACAGATACGTCATTCACAGGCTAGCAGGGTTACGCTCATGAGCGGTTCCTAAACCTTTCAAGTCTGGCTGCAGTGCAATCTTTCAACTCTATCTAAACAGAGCTGCTAACCATACCCTCAGCTCATATCATGCTGAATAAAGTAAAACTGTTGGCAGGCAGCACAGCGAAACACTCTGCATCTTGACAGCTCGCGGTGATTAACCTCCCTTAGTTACTCGACACTGTATGCCTTAGCCAGGCTAACAGTAAAATCACAGTTTGCATCACATTGGCCCTCTGTTCAGGTGCAGGGGTACAAGCATCAGCTTTTGACAGCTTGGCCCTACCCAGACCAGAATATACATGTTTATTCCTAGCCAAGTTCATAAACATAGTGTGCTGCAGCTAGCCCATTGTCCAGTCAAACCATACGGAAAACAACTTCAAAGCAGACTTCAGCCATCTTGTGACTTATATGAAGTTTCGGCCTCCCAGTACCTGAAGCCCACAAAAAAGGGAATCTGATTGGCATTTCTTCTTGGACTTGGACCTACTGACTAATAACTCCACACCCTTTTTAGGGTTTCTTCTCAACACCAGTCAGAAGATAAGGACACCCTCTCTCCCCTCCATGCACTATTCATTCATTACAGGACATGCTGTTTGGTTAGAACTTCTTTAGTGCTTGTTAGCATTAGCCTGCAGCAGAATCAAAGCTCAAAGTACCCATTTCAATTCTCATATTAGCCTTATCCCAACTTAGCTGAGGCCCAGAGGAATCTGAACAGAACACATGTACAATAATATAACTGTTTCCTCATGCATGCTAGGAAGCGAGTAGAAAGGTCATCTCCTCAGCATCACCATAACAGACCTCTAAACAGACCTTATTTTCCCACCTTCCAGCACACACTTTGTCTAGTAGGGCTAGGGCTCCATCAGATTCTCTCTGCCAAAAGCTTCCAGCCCCTGTTCATCTGTCTCCCGCAACAGCACAAGAACGCTTTCCTGATCTGCTCCTGTTGTCAGCAGCGGGGAGCAAAACCGTGCCCAGAAGGGGCTGGGGGAACCTGTTGCCTATTGCACAAAGCACTACCTGACTCAACTGATGCTGGGGAGCAGGACAGCTGGTATTTTACATACCAGTCCCTTTCCTGCTTCCTCTTCCTCCAGTTACAATCCACCAGTCACAGGGACTTGCTGTACATGCACACATCACTGTTTCTTGGCTTTTGAGAGGAAAACTTCCCTGCTAACCCATCAAAACTATGAGGCAACAGCCAAAAGACCTCTCTCCTCACCTCAGTTAATTGGCAAGGAAGCAATGAAGAGCGCAACCATCAGGAATCAGCTAGGTCAATAGTAACAACTTCCACATTTTTCCCCTCAACGTTGGAGTGCTTGTGGGGTACGGCTGGTATAATTTGAAATTAACAGGTAAATACAAAGTCAAGTTACAAAAGTGTGCAAGATAGTAACGATCAACCATCCAACTCTTCTTTTCAATAGATCGCAAATCGTTCTGCATAGAAAGTCAACACAGGTCTTCCTATTTCACAAACTTAAGTCAGCACAGAACGGGAAGGTAAAGTGTCTTGCACAAGGCACCCTAGCCAGTCACAGGAAAGCAAACAAGGCACCTTTTAGGTTGGTTCTGTATTAACAGAAAAATTGCAGAAGCACTGGGTCATAAGTGGAAAAGGTACAGATGTCCCTGGTCCTGAAGGCAAAGCAGCAGCAGTGCCAGACTTGAGTAGACCCACAGAAGATGCATAAGAAGCCAAAAGGTCACAGGATCACACCCTCTCCGAAGCATCTTCTATCACTTCAGCTCCATTGCAGCACCTCACCACCAAATCAGTGGGCTCTAAGTTTAGAAGGAAAAAAAAAAAAAAAGGCTGTTTCAGTCTTAGTCTTTGGAGAAAGGTGATCCTTCCATACACTCTACACCTCTAGATCCAGAACCGGACTCATGGCCCTTGAGGCAGAAAAAACCCTTCTTTAGCAATCTCTTGTGACTGCCTGACAAAAATTCACAAGCACTGCACTGTTCCACAAGAAATTTTTTAAGGAGAGATTGCCACCTGCTGTTATCTCCCAAAATAGCATCTAAGACTTGTGAGAAAGCTCATGCTTTTCTCAGGACCTCTAATTAATTAAACATTAAACATGACAATCCTTCTCCTCCTTCTGCAGACAGACATCCGATTACAGACCTAAGGTATTAAGAAGCCTCAGCCCCAATAGCAGTCACAGAACAGAAGCAGCATTTCCCCGAAGCCTCCCCTAATCATGGAAATCACGTTTCCTGCATGATGTCCTTAGAAGGTAGCACCGACTGCAAAGCAAAACCCAGCAGGTCAAAGCATTCCTTGCAACTGGGAAATGGAGAGCACAGAGATAAGCAATCGAAACTAAACGCACACACTCTCAAATCATGGTGGATCTTGCAGACAATGCTGACAGAGGCAAAAATTCCTCACCTATGCTAACCTGAAATACTTGTTGCTCAGAGCACATCGTTAAAGACAGCAGTCAATATTGTATTAGCTAATTGAACCTGAGTGCTGCCATGATAATCATCCTTGGCATCTCTCCAATTTAATCTGCTCTCTCTTTCACCACCCAAGTACTGTCAATCTGAAATCTCTTCCTATCGACTTCCCCAATCTTCCCCCTGCTGCTGGGCACCCAAGCATCTCTTTGAGTAATTCCTGCGGATGCTGGACTTCCAACACAGCACACAAAGGAAGCTGGTAGCCTGATTGCCCGTTGCTGGGGGTGAAACTTGGGCAGCTGGGCAGAAATGACTTGTCCAAGGTCATCCAGGACCCTAAGAATTGAAAGAGGCCTCCTAGCCATAACACAGCGGCTAAGAAACAAACTGTCCTACAGTCCCCACATCCCAGCATCAATTTAAAACCTCCACACCACCCCTCTCCTTGGCAGGGATCTGACACTCCCCTTTCTCAGTCCTCCAGCACCCCAGTCAGCCTCTTTTCATAAGTGCATGTTATAAATCCAGGTTACAGAAGGCACAGAGATGCTAATCTCGGCTCATCGCTGGTGTTTGCCAGGCGGCGCAGGGCAGGGCAGGGCTCACCACCTTCCTTCCTGACAGCTACTGCGACATACGAAGAGGCTCCTTGCGCTGGGGGCGCATTCAGGAGCCATTGCTCAGCGCCGCGGCGCGGTACGCG